CGCCCCCGCCGCCTCCACCACCGCCCCCTCCACCGCCACGTCTGCCACCTCTGCCACCCTTGCCTCCCTTGAAGCCGCTGCGCTTCCCACTCGGAGCGGAAGCAGCTGCGACCATCTCAGCACCAAAGAGATCGACAGCAGCAGCTGCGGAGGCGTAGGAGGGGGTGAGAGGGGAGGGGGAGCACCCCTCAAAGAGGGGAGTGCGGGGAGTACCCCGAGCAGCTAGAATGTTCTTCTCGGCTGCTAGGAGGTGCTTCTCGAGGTCGTTGATAGTGAGGTAATGGGGTTCAAGGGCGAGGAAGTGGTCCCTGACTGAGGGAAGAGTGTCAGGGAGGCGGGTGATGAGGAAGTAGAAAGTGAAGTACATCGGGGGGTGGTTCTCTGCGAGGAACTCGGCTGGAAGGGCGGCACAAAGGAGAGTGTCACTAGCGCGTAGGTGAGAGATGAGGTCCTCAGCGGTGGTAAACGAGGACAGGTCGGGGAACAGGTAGGGTAGCATAAGTCGACCGAACGCTGCAGTGGCCGGGAAAGAGTAGCGGGCAACTACAGCGTCGTACAGCGCCTTGGCAGTCTTGTGGTGGCTAAAATGTGCGCGCTCTGTGATCGGAAGATGGTTGCGAATAGCGAGGCGCGCAGCAGCATCGCGGGTCGGCCACTGGGAGCGGTCTAGAGCAGGCTCAGTGTCAGCAGGAGCAACGGCAGTGCTAGACACGTAATCGAACAGCGAAACACCGTCCTTGGCATCAATCAAAAGGAACAGTTGCAGGTCGTCAAGCCAGATGGTAAACTCTACTTGGCGACCGCCAGGATCGAACGTGAGCAAGTTGAGAGTCGCCATGCGTGCAGCGTAGGCAAGGCTAGTGTGCAGGCGGCAAGGCAAAAGGCAAGGAAGGAGAGACTGCGTGCAAGGTTGCAGTGGCGGCGCACGGACTGCAGTGGCGGTGCACATACTCCTAAGGCAGCACGGAGGGCAGCAGTGGGCTGCACGTGGGCCTCTAAAACGGTGCGCGGTGCAGCTGCGGGCCGCACGCGGGCTCCTAAAGTGGCGCACGGTGAATCAGTAAGCCGCGCGCTGGCTCCTAAGGCGGCGCGCAGAGCAGGTGCGGGCTGCGCGACCGGAGAAGGCGACGCGCGGGGCAGCAGCGGGCTGCACTGGCGGTTGACGCGGCGCGCGGGCCGGCGGCAGGCTGCGCGGGCAGCTGACGCGGCGCGCGGGGCCGAAAGCGGGCTACGCGGGCAGCAGATGCGGCGCGCAGGGCCTAAGCGGGCTGCGCGTGGGCGGCTTACGCGGTGCGCGGGCCGGCGGCAGGCTGCGCGGGCGGCTGACGTGGCGCGCGGGGCCGAAAATGGGCTGCGCGCGGGCTGCTCAAGAGGCACGCGCGGGAAAAAAAAGGGGTCGCGCGCGTGTAGCCAATACGCGCGCGGGCAGCACGCAAGGCAGGGAGGCAGGCCAGGCCGTAGGTGAGGTAACGTGGTAACTGGTGGGCCCTAAACTTAGGTCCTAAAGACCTACTGCTCTAGATACCATCTTAGAAGCTAGGCATGAGTGAAGCTGACTATCGAGAGAATTGGTACAAGGACAAAACCCTAAGGAGTTATACCCCACAGTATCTACCTCACTACAGCCTACCCACAAATATAATATATGCATATGTTTGACACGACGATTGTCCGCAACTCACAGCTTTGCGAGAGGCAAATGAATATAGCACAAATAATGCAGTGCTCAGTGTAATTCAAGCGGGAGGCTTCAATTATTGCACGAAGATTGATGCTTCCTTGTATGCAAAGTATTTCCGTATAGATTTGTCATACAAGGAATCTCTTATGAAATTATTATGCTAGAATATAATGCGTATCATATTTTGGATTCCATGGACACAAAAATAAAACTGGAAATTTAAATGATAGAAAATATATCTGCACGTATATTTCCTTAATCTTAATGAAAATATACTAGGCAAACGTCAGAGTGCATTCTGACAGTTTTTGCTAGACTGATCCTGCTAATATGGGGTATTCTATTATGGTGTTCTGGGAACTTCGGAATGTCGCGCTCGTAACTGCATAAAGCCTAAACGCGACATCTTCCACTTCCCAGCGAACACTCTCCTACCATTCCCTTGCATCCCGTCCCGTGTCTCGCCATTTCTCTTCCCATCGCTAACGCCATCGCTCTTGTCGCGTCTCCCGTCGTCCGTCACCTGCATTCTTCGTTCCCATTCCCCCTCCCTTCTACCTTCTCTCGTTGCTCTCCTCTCCCTGCGCCCTCCCCACCCCATTTCTCCGTAATCTCCGCTCTCCATCACGTGAGCGCGGCGAGATGGCGCTTGCCGGATTTGCCTTCGAGGTCTTCGGCAAGGTAGTAACGGGGATGCGGATGAGTACGCCGATCAGGGCCAGTGAGATTCCTTCTTTTTGTTCTGTAGCGAACGCCGTGAAGTCACCGCGGGCGATTTCCTGATTCCGTTTTGTCCGTTTTAATCCGTTTCTAGTCATGCCTTGGCAATATAGAACACTCACAGCGATGCATCAGGCCGTCCGTAAAAGTTGCTTCCTTTCTATCAGCTTCTGTCAGGTGTAGGGTATCCCTATCGTGGGTTCGGTCCATCATCAATAATCTTCATTTTATCACTTTCTGTCAGGTGCAAGGCGTGTCGTTCCGGTATTACACGAGCCATAAAGCGACTTCCCTGGGGCTGGTGGGGTGGTGCCGAAACACAGACATGGGGACAGTGGAGGGGGAGATTCAGGGGCGCAAGGAGAACGTGCAGGAGATGTGAGTATAACGAGTTGGTGCGTGCAGGAGATGTATGATGAAGTGGTGCAAGGAGTGTCGTTCAAGTACCACACGGGGGGCTGGTTAAGTAACACAGACATGGGGACAGTGGAGGGGGAGATTTAGGGGCGCACAGAGAACGTGCAGTAGGTGTGAGTATATCGAAGTTGAGTATATGAGTGGTAAAGCAGCGATGCCATTAAAGTGAAGCCACAGCTGGAGTGCAGTTAGCTGAGGTCGTTCATTGTGGTGCTTGCCTTCTCTTCTCTCTCGCTTCTGGCCGTTTCTCAACACATTTGGTGCTGCTTTTGGGAAATGTGAAAAGCAACACCAACATAGGTGCCATTATGGTTGTTCATTGTGGTGCGTGCCTTCTCACTCGTCTCTGGCCATTACTCAACACATTCTCCCTCCTTTCTCCCTCCCTCCCACATTCTCCGCCTCCACACCCCCCTCCCCCTCAACACCCCTCCCTTCTCCTCCCTTCATCTGTCTGCTTCGCATCTGGACATTGCTGCATTGGGCTGCAGGAAGGTGTGGCTATGCACCACTGGCTCTCCTTATTCCCGCATCGAGCGATGCGCTTTTAAGAATGAGGTGGACGATCTTAAAGAGTTGTCTTTCAAGTCATTCCGCGTACACCATTAAGGCTATGAACGAGCTATAGATCTTCAGAAAAATAATGCTGAAAGAGGCTAGGCCTTGAGAATATCGATAAATATAATATAATATAATATAATATAGGATGTTAGAGCATTGGTTGTCTAGTACCAGAATCTGGAATGCTTACGGGCAATAATTACTAGAGAAGCTTTAGTTGTGATTGGCAGATTCCTTGTGCTTCGCCAAACATATTATTGATTCACAAGCCCGATTATTCCAAAACGGGTAATTCACTAAATCCCTTGTTATGGGTTCAGTGTGTGCGTTTTCTAGTCATGTCACATGTTTTTGTTCGGTCGAATGCATTCCAAAGAGGTACCGTAATGCACGAGAAGTAGAGCCAAACTAATCCCAACAGATAGAGTGCCTTGGTGTTGTCTTATTTCAGCAGATTTGTGAAGTTCTATGTGCTCAAAGTGCCAAACCAACCACTCATTATCTTATAGCAAAACGTTTTTCAACACAACGTAAACCGTACTACAGCGAAATCTCATACTTTGGTGATGTCGACCAGGGTCAAAATAGTAGTCCAGTTCGCTTTTTCTTAGGGTGCGTCAGATCCGTTGGCCGGATCAATCCGGCCGGCCGGATCTAGCGAAGGTTACACATTCACGACATTCGTAAGGCATTTCGTTAATTTCGCACAATCTGGCCACTTGCTAAAATTTTGATGGTTGGTTTGATGGCCAGTTTAGCATTCGACAACTTTCCGACGTGCAAACGAATCGAGAGTCGACCACTTTGTCGACTCATCAGTGCTACAGTACCTATGCGACTTGGCCAACTTACCCAAGCGACTCAACGTGTCACAAGGACGACTCACACGGCGCTTTCAGCGCCGTTGAATATGACCAGAACACTTGGTAATCGCTCTCGTCAGCAAAGTCAAGGAGCAAGGGCACCATGACACCGACTGCAGCAACCAAGGGGCGAGCACAACGTGCATGAGTCCGATTGCTAAACGTCATGCCCATCTGGGTGTGAAAGGATCCGCCATGTTGGATAATGGCTAGAGTGTAGGGACGTTCCGGTTTTTGTATGCTCTCGTCACACTCAGTTCGGGTAGACGACACGATGTCGCCGAGCCGGTTTGTAAATGGGGCCGCAGCTCACATCTTGACTCCCTGATCGTAGTGTGCACAATAGCGGTTGTGTCACTTCAGTAACAATACGTGCGACTCCGTCGCACAATCCGGCCAACTGTGCGACCTGCAAATCTGACACTTCTGCAAACCGGCCTGTAAATCGGCCACCAAATCTGTCAGATTTCAACACCTTGTAAATGTGGTTGGATGGTGGTCGGTTTAGCATTCGACCATTCGGTCTACTTTGGTGAAAAAAGGAGTCGACCAAAAGGGCGACAAATTTGCAGACAAATCACATTGTAGCGGATCTGATGCACCCTTAGAACAAATTCAATCCACTACTTCTTTCTCAGCGCTCCTTCTGCTGCTATTCCTCTCGGATCCTTACTCCCTCCATTCATACGATGCTCCCTGCAAGCCGGTGACACGCGTTATTCACTGTGACACCGTCGAAGCAGCTGTGACGCGTCAGCATGGCAGTCGGTGGTATGAACTTGAAATGGGTGCGGCGGCGCGTCACCGAAGCGCTTCTCGTGAGCGGCGCGATCGTGGCGTGCCTTGTGAATCACCATGTCCCCGAGCCATACATGGTTCGAGTATAAGTATTGAATCGAAGCCACCATGCTTTCCAGACGTACATGGTGCGAGACTGATATCCCACAATGCGTGATTTAAAACCTTAGTCGTCAAAAGTCACCGCAAGCGTGGCGTGCCTCGTACATGGCGCGAGAATAGTATTGTTTTGAGTCGACTCAAAACTCGACTGCAATTATTGTCCAAGACGCCTCGGAGTCCACATGTCCTTCAGCAGAGCACACTGTACCAGAATAGTTGCCTATGGTGTAGACTAGTTCGCTGACACCCATCATTGATCATCGTGTTTCCCAGCTGTGCATGGTGCGAGATAAATTTACGATTCTTGACCCTACCCCCCACCACCTCCCCTCTTTTCCCCCTCCCCTCCCCCTCCCCTCCCCCTCCCCTCCCCTCCCCTCCCCTCCCCTCCCGAAATTCAGGACGAGATATTCCACGTGCCTCAGACGCAGCAGTACTGCCGAGGGGACCTGCTGACGTGGCACCCGCTTATCACCACGCTGCCGGGCCTGTAAGTCAATGCAAGTCAACGCAATTCAGCACAAGTCAGAATCAACAATGTCAGTTCGCCTTTCCTGTTCTCTGTTCCTTCCCCCTTCCCTTCTCTGTTCTCCTCCTTCCTTCCTTTCCCCCCTTCCTTTCCTTCCTCTCCCCCCCAGTTTCTTTTCTTTCTCTCCTCACTCTGCGCCTTCCACTCACCCCTATCCCCCAAGTACTACCTATCCCTTGTATTCGTGGTACAGGAGACGACTTTTGAGGCGCCTCAAAAGTCCACTCACCCCTATCCCCCAGTTACTACGTAGCCCTTTTATCCGCAGGCATGCAATACGCCCTCCCGCATCCTCCCCTCTCCTTCTTCCTTCACACCCCCCATCTTCCCCCTGTCCTTCCCAACCCCACTTCTGCATTCCCCATCTCTCAGCTATTACCTAGCCCTTGTATTCGTGGGCATGCAATACGCTCTCCTGCAACTCCTAGGCATCGCCAAAATCGCTGCCCGCCTGGCGTCCACGTCAGATGCCACGTCAGACGCCACCCTGTCAGGTGCCACGTCAGCAGCAGGCGTGTCATTCGCGTCCCTGTGCTCCCCCGTGGCGCTGCGGTCTCTCAACCTCCTCCTCCTCGTCCTTTCCTTCCCCCTCTTCTACTCCACTGCCCGTGCTGCTGCCGCTGCTGCTGCTGGTGCTGCTTCTGGTGCCTCTGATGCTGCTGGTGCAACAGCAGTTGCAGCTCGTTCAAACAAGGTACTGCTGTTGTGAGTAGGACCCCACTCCCCCTCCCCGTCCTCCTCCCCTTCCAAGGTGACCTTTGAGTTGAGTCAAAAGACGTCAGCTGCAGCTCGTTCAAACAAGGTACTGCTGTGTGAGTAGGACATCACACACTCCCTCCCCGTCCTCCCCCTTTCCTCCAACTTTCTCCTTCATTCGTTATGCCTCCCTTCCCATCCCATCCCTGCCTCCCCTCCTCCTTAGAAATCTTCACCTCCTCTCAACTCGTCCTTCCACTCCTCCTCTCAGCTCATCCTCCCTCTTGTATAATCTGGATGCTCGTCCTCCATAGGGCCGAACCGAACGTACACGCTGCTGGATCCATGCATGCCCGACGACTTTTTTGAGGCGCCTCAAAAAACTTACATGCTGTTGGATCCATGCCCCACGACCAGATTTGAAATCGCCTGAGAAGGCGACTCGTTCTCCCGTCAATGTAGTTTCTTCCGCACAGCCGAAACTCGCATGCTGGAACGGAACTCCCGTACGCTTGCCTGCGTGGTACGTTTCTTCCCGTGGCCATAGCACACATGCTCCTTCATCATAATCCATAATCCATGATCCATGATTTGATCCTCCATTCTTTGTCATATCCCCTACCCATACCCTCCTCCCCAGGCGGGCAAGCCGCATTCGCGACCTCGAGGTGTCGCAGCCTTGCTACACAGATACGAAACCAGATATGACACCAGAGACGAAACGCGGGACGGCACCGGAGATGAAACGCAAGACGAAGCCGGGAACAGCACGGAAAATGACACCAAAAGCCGCCCGCGCAAGCACGCGCCTTGGGACGAGGTCGACGAGGACTGCACGTGGAGGGCGGTGATGTTTGTCCTGTTCCCCCTGCACTGGTTCTTTGGATTCCTATACTACACGGACGTGGCTTCGTCTGTCGCGGTGCTGGCTATGATGCGATGTGTTTACAAGAGGCAACACCACCGCGCCGCGTTGGTAAGCGTTCTTTTCTGTGCTATTTTACCCTGCCCCACTCCTCTCTACCGCACACATTGGCTTGGCGTCGTGTGTAGCAGTGCTGGCTATGATGCGATGTGTGTGCAAGAGGCAACACTACCGTGCTGCAATTGTGAGTGCCCTGTCTTTCTTCACTTCACTCTGTTCCACTCCTCTCTAGCTGTCTCTCTAGCCTCCACCTCTTGTCCCTCATCCCAATGCTCGTCTTTCCCTCCCCTCCCCCCCTCTCCCCCGCTCCCAGCTAGCAGCAGGCCTCATAATCCGCCAGACCAACTCTGTGTGGGCCCTGCTCGCTCTCTGCCTCCCTCACTATGCCTATCCACTTCCTGCTCGCTCTCTGCCTCCCTCACTATGCCTATCCACTTCCTGCTCGCTCTCTGCCTCCCTCACTATGCCTATCCACTTCCTGCTCGCTCTCTGCCTCCCTCACTATGCCTATCCACTTCCTGCTCGCTCTCTGCCTCCCTCACTATGCCTATCCACTTCCTGCTCGCTCTCTGCCTCCCTCACTATGCCTATCCACTTCCTGCTCGCTCTCTGCCTCCCTCACTATGCCTATCCACTTCCTGCTCGCTCTCTGCCTCCCTCACTATGCCTATCCACTTCCTGCTCGCTCTCTGCCTCCCTCACTATGCCTATCCACTTCCTGCTCGCTCTCTGCCTCCCTCACTATGCCTATCCACTTCCTGCTCGCTCTCTGCCTCCCTCACTATGCCTATCCACTTCCTGCTCGCTCTCTGCCTCCCTCACTATGCCTATCCACTTCCTGCTCGCTCTCTGCCTCCCTCACTATGCCTATCCACTTCCTGCTCGCTCTCTGCCTCCCTCACTATGCCTATCCACTTCCTGCTCGCTCTCTGCCTCCCTCACTATGCCTATCCACTTCCTGCTCGCTCTCTGCCTCCCTCACTATGCCTATCCACTTCCTGCTCGCTCTCTGCCTCCCTCACTATGCCTATCCACTTCCTGCTCGCTCTCTGCCTCCCTCACTATGCCTATCCACTTCCTGCTCGCTCTCTGCCTCCCTCACTATGCCTATCCACTTCCTGCTCGCTCTCTGCCTCCCTCACTATGCCTATCCACTTCCTGCTCGCTCTCACAGGTTCCCCCCCCCCCCTCCCCCCCCCCTCCTCCCTCCCGCACCCCCCCCCCCCCTGGCAGCTAGCAGCAGGCAGCATCATCATCCGCCAGACCAACGCCGTGTGGGCTCTGCTCGCTCTCTGCCTCTCCGCCTCGCAATTCCTGGGCATGCCCACACTTCTGACCCCCCAGGAAACTGCACAGTTAGAAGGGTTCCAGGCTGGAGGATTAGATGCGCGGGCAGGATCAGAAGCACAGAGAGTTGCAGCACGAAAGGACACAGCAGAAAAAGACAAGGCAGAAAAAGACAAGGCAGAAAAAGACAAGGCAGGAAAAGACAAGGCAGAAGAAGACAAGACCGACAAGGACAGCAGGGGCAGATCTGCTGAGCATGGGGATTTACAAAACGGCGTTGCCACCGATCGGATAAAGGGAAGCTTCCAGGATCCTTCCTGGGCGACGGGGGCAGCTGCGAGAGGGGAGGACGCACCCAGGGCGCTCCTGCTGCTGCTGCACCGCGCGTGGGCCCTGCGGGGGAAGTTTCTCGGAAGCTTCTTCCCGCTGCTGGCGGTGTTGGCGGCGTTTTTTGTCTTTGTGCGTGTCAACGGGGGAATCGTTGTCGGTGAGTGATGAGGCGTTGAGGCTATGTGTGTGTTGTGTACTTGTGTTTTGAGTCAATTTAAAACACACTGTTGCCGGCAGTGTTGACGGCATTCTTTGTCGTTGTGCGTGTCAACGGGGGAATCGTCGTCGGTGAGTGGATGACCCATCCTGAGGCGTTGAGGCGTTGTGTTTATGTCTGAGTGTACCTGTGAATGAGTGTGTTTTGAGTCAATTCAATTTGCACCATTGCTGTTCTTCTGCACATCACCCTTCCATGCCTCTAACTCTGAGTTGAGAAATGTTGAGGATTCTTGAGTTGGAGTCAGCCAGCCAGCCGCTCTGCTGCACATCACTATTGAGACTTCAGCCATTTCATGCAGCCGCTCTGCTCCACGGCCTTCCCTGCTCCACAGCCTTCCCTGCTCCACGGCCTTCCACAGCAGCATGTACTTCCCTCCCTCTTGCTCTCCTCCCCACCCCACCCCATCCCTGGCACCCCACAGCTCCCCACCTCACCAACCCAGGTGCCCGCACAGAGCACCGGCTCTCCCCCCATCTCATTCAGCCACTCTCCTTCGCATCCTTCCTTGTTTCATGACGACATTTGCGCCTCCTTGCACCCCTCCTCACTGCACCCCACTCCACCAAACTCCACTTCTCCCCACCCAACCCCACCCCACCCCACCCCACCCCATCCAGGAGCGCGCACAGAGCACCGTCTCTCCCCCCATCTCACGCAGCCACTCTACTTCGCAGCCTTCTCTGCACTCTCCCTCTCGCCCCTCCTCCTCGCCCCTTCCTCCCTCCTCCCCCTCCTCTCCACCACCTCTTGCTCTCTCCGATCGGCCCCCGGTCGCTGCCTCGTCCTCTCTCTCCTCGTCTCCGTCCTGCTCTTTCTCACCATAAAACACTTCAGGTATCATTGTCGCCCCATCCATGTCTACCTCCTCTCCTTCCCTTCTCTTCCTTTCTGACCGTCGTCCCCCTTCTCTCTTTTCCACCCTCGTCCTCTCTCTCCTCGTCCCTGGCCTGCTCTTCCCAACCATCAAACACTTCAGGTATCATGTCCCTCTTTCCTTTCTCCGTCCTCGCTCTTCCTCCTTCCTCCCCCTCCCTCCTCTCCTCCTCCTCTCGCTCTTCCTCCTTCCTCCCCCTCCCTCCTCTCCTCCTCCTCTCGCTCTTCCTCCTTCCTCCCCCTCCCTCCTCTCCTCCTCCTCTCGCTCTCTCCGATCATCCCCCACCCTCTGCCTCAGCCTCTTTCTCCTCGTCTCCGCGCTGCTCTTTCTCACCATCGAAAACGTCAGGGATCGCATTGTTTGAGGCGCCTAAGAAGGCGGTCTATCCAAGCAATGCGACTTCTTAGGCGCCCCATTGCTATCCACCTCCCTCACAATGGGTTATCGTTGTATCGTTTTTCCCGTCCTCGCCCCCTCCCTCCCCTCCCCCCTCCTCCTCTCAACCACCTCTCGCTCTCTCCCACCATCCCCTATCTGCTAGCGGACAATCGTCACTACCCCTTCCACATCTGGCGCAGACTCATCGTCCCGCCTAAAAAGGGGTTCTATCCACCTCCCTCGCAATGGGTTATCGCTGTATCGTTCTTATCTGCTAGCTGACAATCGTCACTACCCTTTCCACATCTGGCGCAGACTCATCATCCCGCCCATTCTTCTCACTTGCTTCCCGTGCCACTTCGTTTCATTTGCACCTACTGCCCCACCCCGTCTCATTCCCAGTCTCGCCCACCCCTATCGCTAGCGGACAACCATCACGGCCCGTTCTACATCTATTGTTGGCTCGGATCCACCCTTTCCATTCCGCTCTCTCTTGCCCTTTCTCCCACTGCCCCTCCTCCCAGCCTCGCCCACCCCTACTTACTAGCGGACAACCGTCACGACCCCTTCTACATCTATTGTTGTCTCATCCACCCTTTCCGTTCCGCTCTCTCTTCTCCCACTGCCCCTCCTCCCAGCCTCTCCCACCCCTACTCACTAGCAGACAACCGCCACTACCCCTTCTACATCTGGCGCCGGCTCATCAATCCTTCCCATGCTCCCTTCTCATCCTCCCTCTTCCTCCCTAAACACCATCCCTCTCTATCCCAGTCTCTCCCACCCCTATCTGCTAGCAGACAACCGCCACTACCCCTTCTACATCTGGCGCCGACTCATCAATCCGCCCCACAGCCCGTCACAGCGCTTCCTGCTGCTGCCAGTCTACGCCCTCTCCCTCCTCGCCCTCACCCATGCTCTGCGTATGTGGCAACTCACAGCTTACGTGCAGCTCTTTGCTACTTGCATTGCAATCGAGAAAACAAGCTGTCTGAGATGTCTCTCAAAACACTTCTTTTATCACGTGGCAACTCACAGCTCATGCGCAGCTCCTAACTGCTTGCAATTCCGCTCTCTAATTTAGCACTTCCTGCTGCTGCTGCTGCTGCTGCTGCTGCTGCTGCTGCTGCTGCTGCTGCTGCTGCTGCTGCTGCTGCTGCTGCTGCTGCTCCTGCTCCTGCTCCTGCTCCTGCTCCTGCTCCTGCTCCTGCTCCTGCTCCTGCTCCTGCTCCTGCTCCTGCTCCTGCTCCTGCTCCTGCTCCTGCTCCTGCTCCTGCTCCTGCTCCTGCTCCTGCTCCTGCTCCTGCTCCTGCTCCTGCTCCTGCTCCTGCTCCTGCTCCTGCTCCTGCTCCTGCTCCTGCTCCTGCTCCTGCTCCTGCTCCTGCTCCTGCTCCTGCTCCTGCTCCTGCTCCTGCTCCTGCTCCTGCTCCTGCTCCTGCACCTGCACCTGCTGCTGCTGCTGCTGCTGCTGCTGCTGCTGCTGCTGCTGCTGCTGCTGCTGCTGCTGCTGCTGCTGCTGCTGCTGCTGCTGCTCCACGCCCTCTCCATTCTCACACTCTACCACACCCTACATATGTGATGCTCTCCCTCTGACTGAATCCTCCTTTGAACCACGTGCAATCTGAGCCATGCACCACATCACGTGCGATCTGAGCCATGCACCACATCCCGTGCGATCTGAGCCATGCACCACATCCCTTCCCTGCTGCTGCCACTCTACGCCCTTTCCCTGCTCGTCCTCTACAGCGCCCTATCTATGTAATATTTTAACAACCACTTGAACACCTCTCCCTCATTTAACTCTCCTCTTCCCCCCCATGTCTACGTCCCTCTCTTCCGTTTTCCCTTCCTCCCCACACCCCTTTCCCAGGCCGTGCCATGACCCCTCTCGGCCTCTTCTTTTTCTCAGCTGCAACAGCAGCAGTTCTCGTCCCATCCCCGCTCCTCGAATTCCGCTACTTCATCCCTCCCTTCCTGCTTCTGCTGTTACACCTCCCCCTGCCTCGCAACCGCCTGGAAAAGAGGGTTGCATGTGCTCTGGTTGTCACTGCCTTTGCTGCTGTAGATATTGCCACTATGGCACTCTTTTTGTTCCGCCCGTTCAAGTGGGAGGGGCACGAAGGCTTGCAACGGTTCTTATGGTAACCCTATGGTGGATGCACTGCTTATGAACACCACACATTGTTTATACACACTCCAAGCAGTGTTACAACCAACACCACGTCTCGTCTTGTTCCCTCACGTCTTCTCGCCTCTCTTGTTACGGACCCTCGTGTCTCTCCGCCATCTGTCTCAGCTCTTCTGCCGCTGTCGCTGACTTTGTTGCCACTCGCCACCTTGACTACCACCCCTGTGATGGCTACTCTTCCTACCCGTCCTCTTTTCGTCGGGGGTGAGTCAGTCCTTGGTTGTGACGCCCTAGAGGACAGACGGTTTGAGTTGGAGTTCTTGGCAGCCGCATCTCCCTGTCTCAGTGCCGTGTTGCTAACCCCTGAAGGAGACCCCGAAGCCCTTGACATACCAACTCCTCGCATGTACCGTGAGACCAGGTAACATGGAATTCTTAAAAAGTATAATGTGTGGACCAGGTTAGCAACTCAGCCCAGTTTGTAGACCTGTAAAGTTGCTTGTGTGTAAGGCATTCGCAGCCGCAGTGTGTTCACAATCAAGCCATTCTGTCAAAGGGAAGCTGGCAGTATTAGCACGCAGCGGCTAGTATGTATTGAATAAGCATTTAAACCTTTGCTAGAAATTGTGCAGCATTATGGGAGGTTATAGAAGTTATGGTGGCAGGCAAGCGCATGGAAACCGTGTAAGTTATAATGAGTTTGGTACAAGTCAAATGCATGGGTGCGAGGAACTGCTCTGTTGCTGCTGCTGTTGATGCAGGAAGTCGAATGCAGGGGCAGGTGGGAGGAATTGTGGCTGATGGTGCCTGCACGCTAATGGTGCTGCTGTACTTGTGAGAATCCTAAAGAATGACTCAGATACAGCTTCTCAGCTGAAGCTGTTCCTGCTGAAGCTGTTCCTGCTGAAGCTGTTCCTGCTGAAGCTGTTCCTGCTGAAGCTGTTCCTGCTGAAGCTGTTCCTGCTGAAGCTGTTCCTGCTGAAGCTGTTCCTGCTACAGCTACCATTACTGCGGCTGCTGTTGGCGAAGGAAGTCGAATGCAGGGGCGGGAGGGAGGAACTGCGGCGGTGGCACGAGGAACGGGTTGATTGGCGGCACTGCTGCTACCACAGCCGTGGGGGTGAATGGTAGGCTGGGGGTGGGGAGGGGGTGAGGAGGGATGAAGAGGGGTGAACAGTGGTGAAGAGGGGTGTGACAGGCATTGGCGGGGTGTGGATGGGCGTGAAAGGGACATAGTGGACGGGGAATGAGTTGATGGGCGGCACTGCTGCCACCACAGCTGTGGGGGTGAATGGCCGGGATGGGAGTGTGGAGGGGTGACGATGGGCAAAGAGGGGTGAAGAGGGGTGTAACAGACATTGGCCGGGTGCATGCGGATGCGTGACTGAGGGCACGAGGGATAGAAGACACTGATGTCCTTGCCATACCATTCACACCACGCTCAACCTTCAAGAACCACTGTTATCCTCGTTATAAGCTCACCCTTCAAACGCCTCAAGCAGTTCAGATTCGTAGTCCTCCCCTGCACCTCTCAGCTGCTGCAGCACGGCCCTGTCGAACCCCCGGGATCCGTACACCTCGTCCTCAAACCACGAGCACAGGATGGTGAGCTGAGTGAAGTTGAGCGAGGGGCACATCGACACCACCTCCTCCATGGTCTTCCGTGCCTTCTGCTTGGAGGTCTGTGCGGGGGGAGTGTGGGAGGAATAGGTGGAGTGGAGGGACGGGCGAAAGCGGGACGGGTGAAAGGGGGAAGACCACGAGCAGAGGATGGAGGGCTGGGTGAAGTTGAGCGCGGGGCACATCGACACCACCATCGCATGGAGACCACCTCCTCCATGGTCCTACGTGCTCTTTGTTTGGCTGTCTATAGGGAGGGAGGGGAGGGAGGAAGAGGGAGAGTGGAAGAGGGGAAGAGAGTGGGAAAGGAGGGACCACGAGCACAGGATGGTGAGCTGAGTGAAGTGACTTTTGAGTCGACTCAAAAGCAGATGGTGAGCCGCGTGAAGTGACTTTTGAGTCGACTCAAAAGCAGATGGTGAGCCGCGTGAAGTGACTTTTGAGTCGACTCAAAAGCAGATGGTGAGCCGCGTGAAGTTGGGCGAGGGGCACATCGATCCCACCTCCTCCATGCTCCACTGCGCTTGTTGTTTGGCAGTATGGGGGCAAGGGAAAGGGAGAAGAAAGGTAGGGAGGGACGACCTGAGGATGGTGGAGTTGAGCGAGGGGAACACTGATCCTAGCAACTCACCAGCAGCACCACTGCCTGGTATGTATGCTGTAGGGCGTCTATCAGCCACGCCCGCATTGATATATCATGACAGAAAGGTGCCCTTACTCACCAGCAGCAGCACATGTGCCCTGCAACTCACCAGCAGCACCACTTCCTGGTATGTATGCTGTAGGGCGTCTATCAGCATCGCCCGTGACCCTCCCCCCACGCTTCCAGCAGCAGTGCCTGCTCCGAGGCTCCCCACGCTCCTGCTCATGCCCATGCCCGCTGCTGCTCCATCCAGTGCCCCCACCACTCACCAGCAATACCACTGCCTGGTACGTGTGTTGAAGAGCGTCAATCAGCATCGCCCGTGACCCTCCCCCCACGCTTCCAGCAGCAGTGCCTGCTCCGAGGCTCCCCACGCTCCTGCTCATGCCCATGCCCGCTGCTGCTCCATCCAATGCCCCCACCACTCACCAGCAGTACCACTGCCTGGTACGTGTGTTGAAGAGCGTCAATCAGCATCGCCCGTGACCCTCCCCCCACGCTTCCAGCAGCAGTGCCTGCTCCGAGGCTCCCCACGCTCCTGCTCATGCCCATGCCCGCTGCTGCTCCATCCAGCCACGGGTGCACGTGCTCTGACAGCCATGCTTCCAGCGCCAGCAGCCCTTGCTCCATGGCCTCCCCGTTGGCGAGTGTGATGGGACACCAGTGGCTTCGCAGCATGAGGCTGTTGGGGTGAGGGGGCAAGCATGAAGGAAGGAGAGAAGTAGGTGAGGAGGGGAGGCAGGCAGTGAAGCACAGGTGCACGTGGTGTGCCCGCTGCTGCTCCATCCAGCCACGGGTGCACGTGGTGTGCCTGCTGCTGCTCCATCCAGCCACGGGTGCACGTGCTCTGCCAGCCATGCTTCCAGTGCCAGCAGCCCTTGCTCCGTGGCTTCCAGTGCCAGCAGCCCTTGCTCCGTGGCTTCCAGTGCCAGCAGCCCTTGCTCCGTGGCTTCACCATTGGCGAGCGTGATGGGACACCAGTGGCTTCGCAGCATGAGGATGTTGGTGGGAGGGGAGGAGGCATGAAGGAAGGAGGGGCGGACGGGAGGAACTCTCAGAGGTAGAGCAGGCGACAGGCCAGCAGGCCAGCAGGCCAGCACCGCCGGCACCGCCAGCACCGCCAGCACCGCCGGCACCGCCAGCACCGCCGGCATGCGGAGGGTTGAGAGCAACACGGTTACCTGATGAACCCCAAGGGTTACCCAACGACTCACCCCGGGTGTGCTTTGACACGCGGGGGGAATGGGTCGGCTCGGCATGCATACCCGATGAACTGCAGAGGCTACTAAACGCCTCACCCGTTGGAGAGCCGCACGTCCAGGAAGTGCAGCACCTGCCACAGCAGGTGGCGGGCCAGCACGGTGCAGGAAGTGCAGCACCTGCCAGAGCACCATATAATCTAGCGATATTGCATTTGTATCGTTTTTTTCCTTACTTCTCAAAATCACGGAAGGATTTTCAAAGAGCTCCAATCTAATCAGCTCCTGAAACTACCTGAAGTACACGGGGAGGCCCAAAGCATGAGGCGGCGTCGAGTTAGAGGGTATGGGGTGGGTTGGGTAGGTGTCGTGAGGAGTGAGCTGCCAAGTGTTTCGGGCTGAACCGTGTGCTGACGGATTTTCGCGGCAACATATTACCGCGACGTTCCACAATACGGTCTGCAAGATCATCTCTACAAGCGCAGAAAGAGCTTCAAGCAGAAAGAACTTCAAGCGGAGAGAGCTTCAAGCGAAAAATCTTCAAGCGGAAAGATCTTCAAGCGGAAAAATCTTCAAGCGGAAATAGCTTCAAGCGGAAATAGCTTCAAGCGGAAAGAGCTTCAAGCGGAAAGAGCTTCAGGCTGATGGTGCGACATCCCGTCACCGCTGGTCGTGACATCCCCGTCACCGCTTGTCGTGCGACATCTCGTCATTGCTGGTCGTGCGACATCCCCATCACCACTTGAATGGCAGCGGTTACAGGATGTCGCACCACTAGCGGTGACGGGGATGTTGCACAACCAGCGATGACGAGATGTTGCACGACAAGCGGTGACGGGGATGTCGCACGACCAGCGGTGACGGGATGTCGCACCATCAGCCTGAAGCTCTTTGCGCTTGAAGCTATTTCCGCTTGAAGCTATTTCCGCTTGAAGCTCTTTCCGCTTAAAGCTCTTTCCGCTTGAAGATTTTTCCGCTTGAAGCTTTTTCCGTTAGAAGTTCTTTCCGCTTGAAGCTCTTTCTGCGCTTGTAGAGATGATCTTGCAGAACGTATTGCGGAACGGCGCAGTAATATGTTGCCGCGAAAGTCCTTCAGCACACGGTTCAGCCCGAAACACTTGGCAGCTCATTCCTCACGACACCTACCCAACCCACCCCATACCCTCTAACTCAACGCCGCCTCATGCTTCGGGCCTCCCCGTGTACTTCAGGTAGTTTCAGGAGCTCATTAGATTGGAGCTCTTTGAAAACCCTTTTGTGACTTTGAGAAGGAAGGAAAAAAACGATACAAATGCAATATCGCTAGATAATGCAGCGGCTACCAAACGACTCACCCGTTGAAGAGGCGCACGTGCAGGAAGTGCAGCACCTGCCGGAGTACATGGCGGGCCAGGTGCGCACCCTATAGGTGCCGTGTCAAACAGAAGGGGCAGGCCTTTGGTTGGCCCCTAAGAAAAGCTCACCCGTTGAAGAGGCGCACGTCCAGGAAGTGCAGCACCTGCCACAGCAGGTGGCGGGCCAAGTGCGCACTGTTTGGGTGCCAAGGCTTAACCTTTTGCATGGCCATGTGAGCCAAAGCTTACCTGTTGAATGACTCACCCGTTGAAGAGGCGCACGTCCAGGAAGTGCAGCACCTGCCAAAGGAGGTGGCGGCTCAACACGGCAAGGAGGAGCAACGGCAAGGAGGAGCAGCAGCATGCTCACCCATTGAGCAAGCGTGTTGAGTGTCCAATCACTCACCCGTTGAAGAGGCGCACGTCGAGGAAGTGCAGCACCTGCCAGAGGAGGTGGCGGGCCAACGCGGTCGGCACGCGGAGGGATGGGAGCAGTACTGCTTACCTGTTTAGCAGAAAAGGCCATCAGATGGAGAGGAGTGACTCACCCGTTGAAGAGGCGCACGTCCAGGAAGTGCAGCACCTGCCAGAGGAGGTGGCGGGCCAGCACGGTCGGCACGCGGTTGGCTTGCATGCACCCCACCGCGCTCCGCAACGAGACAAGCGCTGCCGCCCAGAACTCGCGCATGTGCTGTGCGTTTGCGGTGGGGCTCTGAAGGGGAGAGGGAGCGGATGGGAACAAGTTGGATAGGAAAGGGGTGATGGGGAGGGGATGGATGGGGAGGAGATGATTACATGCACCAGCCACGACTACCTGAGCGATAAGAGACATGGGGATCTGCGATTTGAGGTTGAAAGACGCCTGGAGCTCTAGAAAGGCGCCCACAAAGCTCCTGCTTGAGCATGAGGAGATAAGGTGTTGACGGGAGTTGGCCCCGCTCTCACTTGGGCGAAGCCGACTTCGTGGTCGGGTGCGAGGGAAGTGCAATTCACCTTCTGCAATGGGCGACGCCGACCTAGGCGAGCAGGTCGACGAAGTTGGTCGACCTGCGCGGGACCACCGCATGCCGGCGGTGAGGGAAACGGTGGCCGATTTCTACTAGTGTAATCGACGAAAGGGTTTGTCGACCTGGGGGACGCCGACTTGGGGAAGTCGGCTGGTGGCTCCAACCAGGGTGGTCGACGAGGGAGCTCGTCGACCAGCGGGCGTCCACCGACGGTCAGGTCGACACCGACTAAGGAGTTTTCCGGTCGACCGAGTAACTCGGACGACGAAGTCCTGCGGAGGTGCGCGAATGTCGGGCTGGTATCCCGAAGTTGACGTGGCTCAACAGGCGCAACCGTCGGCATGCGGTCGACTTGGCACCTGCGCAATGTCCGGAGCGGTGCACAATGTGCTCAACCGGCTATACGCACTTGCGAAGTGGGTGCGCACATGCGCTCTGGTCACACGCGGTCGTAACGCTGGCAAGTCGCCTTGCTGCAGCGTTGGCAAGCCGCCATCAAGCTGCGTTGGCGCGCCGTCGACTTGCTACGCTGTCGGTCCACCTGCTGGTTTGCTAGGTTGCTAGGCTCTGAGGAAGTCATTCCTGTCTACCATCTTTATATCATTGTTCTCAACCTTTGCTAGTGAAGCTCTTGCCAACTTTCAATGTGAATACATAAGTGCTAGAGAACACAAAGAACGCTACGATCACTCTACCACCCGTGTCTTCCTCTGTAGTTCATCTCCCAGTGTAGAGTGACTCCCCTCATAAGGTGCTAGTTGTACAAGACAAACTGTACAAACATCACACAATACCTGTGCCAAGAGGGAGACCAGAGTCTGCAATTCAAGGTTGACAGATGCACGGAGCTCCAGAAACGCATCGTCCAGCAGCACTGCGAGCTCCTGCTTGAACACGAGGAACTCCACCGAGCCCAGTGCTGGCTGCTGCTGCTGTTGGTGCTGCTGGTGCTGACGAGTTGCATCGCTGAATGACGGGGCCTGGGAGGGGAAAGGAGGGGGAAACAGGACAGGTGGGGAAGGGAACAAGAGGATTAGAGCTCCTTACCTGCGCTAGGAGCGAGACAAGAGTCTGCAGTTCAAGGTTGACGGAAGCACGGAGCTCCAGAAAGGCATCATCCAGCAGATCTGCGAGCATCTGCTTGAACTCCAAGAATTCAACTGAGCCCAGCGCTGGCTGCTGCTGCTGATGATGCTGACGAGTTGCATCGCTGAATGACGGGGCCTGAGAGGAAGAAAGAGGGGAAGTGAAGCGGGCAGGTTCGTGAACCAGTTGGACCCAGCAGCAGGCTTGGGCTTTTCTGCAGCTGCAGCAGCGGCAGGTTCATATACCACCTCAACCAGCAGCATCAGACATGCCACATTCGACTGCCAGTAGCACTGCTCTTTCACCGTTCCACACCTGAAACATTCTAAGCGCACCTGAAACATGTTTGTGAACCAGTTAGACCCAGCAGCAGCCTTAGGCTTGTCCGCAGCAGTAGCAGCAGCAGCAGCAGCAGCAGGTTTATACACCACTTCGACCAGCAACATCAGGCACGAGACATTCGACAACCAGTAGCACTGCTCGTTCACCCTCACAGCTGGCACCCCACCCGGCCCCACCCCTTCTCCCAAAATGGCAAGGGTTTCCTCTTCGGGAAGGATGGCGGCTTGCAGGTGGCGAATGGTGGAGGAGAGGAGGGCGGGGGTGGAGGGGGAGGAGGCGGGGGGGAAGGCACCAAAGTGGAGGAGGGAGCGGTAGATGGCTGGGGCGGCCAGAGGGAGGCCTTGGGGGGAGAGGCCGATGATGTGCGTAGTGAGGAATATGAGCACGGACTCCTGTGGGAAGTGGGGGAGGGAAGGAGAGGGGTAGGGGATAGTTGAGTTTGAGATGTCTCAAAGAGAGTGATAGGTGGCTGGGGCTGCCAGAGGGAGGCCTTGGGGGGAGAGGCCAAGAGAATGTGCGTGGTGAGGAATATGAGAACGGACTCCTGGGGGAGGTGGGGGGGAGGGAGGAGGGGAAGAAGGGAGGAAGAGAGGGAGGGGGGAGGGAGGGAGAGAGGGCCTGAGTAACTTCTTGCCAGAGCCAAAGCAGCCCATTCAGAGCAATGGCAGCAGCATCGTAAAACTGAGCACCTGCATAAGAGAGAAACGTGCATGTCTTGACACACCCACACACAAGAGAAACATGCATGGGAGAGAGAGAGAGAGCAGCACGCAAACACTCAAGCAGCACGCAAGCACCCACCGGGGGGTTTTCCTGGATGCGAGCAACGGCAGCACTGTCGTACTCTATAGCAGCCAGCGAGCTGGATGCCCCTTGGGTAGAGAAACCCACACATGAGAGAAACAGCCATGAGATAGACAGCAGCAAGCAAGCACTCACCGGGGGGTTTTCCTGGATGCGAGCAATGGAAGCGTCATCATACTCAATTGCAGCCAGCGATTTTGATGCGTTTTCCATCATCTCCCCACTCGCCTCCCCACTGGCCACTCGAGCCACACTCCACACCGCAAGTGCTGACGCCGAATCCCCTGCTCCTCCTGAATCCTTTGACCCTGCTTCTCCTGTCTCTCCCGCTCTTGCTCCCGAACTTGTTGCTCCCGAACTTGTTGCTCCTGACTCTGCTGCTCTCGATTCCGACCCTGATTGTGCTCCTGCTCCCCCTGCTCCTGCTCCCCCTGCTCCTGCTCCCCCTGCTCCTGCTCCCCCTGCTCCTGCTCCCCCTGCTGCTGCTGCTGCTCCTGCTCCTGCTGCTGTTGCCGCTTGTTGCTGGGGGTGAGTTGGCGAGGCGGGGGGCTGGGGGTAGGAGGAGTGGGTGGAGATGGGGGGAATGGGGCGGGGGGAAACACCGCCACTGGGGGCCGCCTTACCACCAGGAGGGGCAACGGGTTTTGAAGGACCGAGACTGGCCGCTGCCAATCGGGCCAGAGCGGGATTGAACCCTGCTCCTCCTGCTGCCGGCGCTGCTGCTGGTGCTGGTCCCCCTGTTGACTGCACACCAGAATGTGCGGCAGAATGTGCAGCAGCAGTGGCAGCAGCGGCCGATTGGGCACGGTGCTGCGAGAGGGTTTCTGACAGCTGGCGCACGTCGTTGTCCTTGCTGGAAGGGGGGAAGGGGCGGGTGGGGGAAAGGGAAGGACAGGGAGAGGGCAGGGAGGGGAAGAGAGGGTGGGGGGTGGGGAGAGGGGAGGGAGGTGTGGTGGAGAGGCATTTGAAAGAGAGTTGTGAAGAGGGTTTCTGACAGCTGGCGCACGTCATTCGTTGTCCTTGCTGGTGGGATGAATGGGTGCGTGGGAAGTGGGGAAGGCAGGGAGGGGAGGACAGCCAGGGCAGGGAGGTGAAGCGAGCTGACGAGGTTCGAGTGAAAGCGGTGCTGCGAGAGGGAGTCTTTTGGGTCGACTCAAAAGTGCTGCGAGAGGGAGTCTCTCTGACATTGGCACATGTCATTGTCCTTGCTGAAACGGGCGAAACAGGAAGTGGGGAGTGGAGAGGAGAGACGCTTGGAATGGAAGCTGAGAGAGGTCCCATGACCGTTGGCCCTTGTTGCTGTTCTTGCTGGTGGGGTGGATGGGGGAATTGAGGGAAAGGGAGGGGAGGGAGGGAGAGGAGAGACGCTTGGAATGGAAGCTGAGAGAGGTCCCATGACCGTTGGCCCATGTTGCTGTTTTTTCTGGGAAAAGGGAGGTGAGCTTGAGTCAAAAGCACCAAGAGTGAAAAAACATGTCTGGCTCAAGAGTCAAAAGCACTAAAGTCAGGAGCGTACAAGAGTCAACAAATGGAGAGGAGGGGAGAAGGGAAACATGAAGCCAAGGAGTTTAGACAGCGAGTGTGTGGGTTCATAACTGTAGAATGAGGATCGGTGAACTTGAGGCACAATGAGAGAAGAACAATATATCCTTAGTAGGAAGATGGTACAAGCCTGAAAGGCTAGAGCAATGTCCTTTCCAAGGATGAGTTCTAGAGAAGTGGGAAGCCACATTTATGTGGCTGAACTCTTGAGGCTAGCTGCAGCACCTCAAAGCTGAGGGCAGGGCTAGCCAACCTTGCCAAGCTAGCAATTGAGGCCACATGTTGCACATGTGGGCCAGGCTGGAACAACAGCCTACATGGCAGCATGTGGCACACCATAGGAGCCAACAAGGTGAGTATGGGATGGGTGGACAGATGGCAATGCCAACTGTGACCACACTTCACTGTGGGTGAGTGTGGTGGAGTGTGGGAGTGTCATGTTCGGCATAATGAGAAGAGAAGGTGCTGTCGATGAGAGTTGAACCCGCGACCACTAAGACCAAAGGTACCCACTGGGACATTCTTGCTTCCACAACAATAACCACACATGGTTACATGGTTGAGACAGCAAGATCAAACGACACAAATCGTGTTTTGAGTCGAGTCAAGGCACAAATCGTCCAACCATCTCCACCCATCCCAACCCTTCTCTATCTACCCCCCTCTCCCCTTCTTCCCTCCCCCAGGTGCTCACCGCGTGAGTCGCTCCCCAAGAACGCGCACTCGCCCCCTCAACTCCTCCACCTCCTCGCTCCTCTCCCTCACTTTTCCTCTCCCTCAACCCTAGTCCCCAACCAAACTGTCACCCATCCCCTCATATTCGAGTGACTTTTGAGAATTCTCAAAAGCCAAGTCCCCAACGGAACCGTCACCCATCCCCCCTCCCTCTCCCTCCTATCCCGTCCCTCCTCTTCCCCCTCCCGCTCCCCCCCCCCCTCACCCCTTTCCTCACCTCTTGAGTCGCTCCATAAGAATGCCCACCTGCCCTCTCAACTCCTCCACCTCCTCTCCCTTCTCCCGCACCTCCCCTTCCGCCCTCTCCGCCCTCTCCTCCGCCTCCTGCAGCCTCCTCTCCGTCTCCCCCAAAGTGCCTCTCATCGCCACCACCTCTTCTCTAAGCTCCTCTAACTGCACCACACTGCGCGCCATAGCTGCAAACATGCCACTCCATGACGAGGATGAACCCCCTCCCATGCCCATGCCCATCCCTCCTCCTCCTCTTACTGCTCCTCCTCCTCCTGCTCCGCCTGCGCCTGTTTCAGACGCGACTTGCAGGATCTTGGGGGCCAGAGCACGCACGCGAGACCAAGGGCTGCTGCTTTTCCCACCTGCTTCCGCTCCTCCTGCTGCCGCTTCTCCTGCTCCTCCTCCTCCTCCTCCTCCCTCTGCTCCATCCTCTTTCAAACCTCCCAAGCCTTCCTCCCGAGTTGTAGCAACCATGAAGATCCCCATGGCAGCAGAGACCTCTCCCACCTCTCCTGCAGTGGACATATGGCTCAACCGAGACGCATGTGCGCCCCATCGCATTGACCTGCTGCCTGCAATCCCCCTCCCGCTCCTGCTTCCGCTCCCACTGCCACTGCCGCTCCCTGAGAAACCCTTGCTGCTGTTCCCCCCAAGGTTCCTGCTGCTGCTGCTGCCGATCCCCCCAGCAGCCCCCAACCTGCCTTCTTTCATTGACATGCTTCCTGTCCCTGCTAATGCTTTCTGCAGGCTGTTGCTGCGGGTGGTGCCGCGGACCATGTGGGAGGTGCTTCGACTGCCTTGGGAAGCCTGCTGCCACGCAGCAGCAGCAGGAGGAGCTGCCACGTCATCATCAGAGAGGGTCGCGAGGACTTTCCACGAGTGCCGCACTCCGTCCAGGTCTGCTCCCAGCCCGGTTTCAACAGCACCAGCCACATCAGCACTCGCCAAATCAGCACCGGCCACATCAGCAGCGGCTACAGTGGCAACTGCAGCACCATCATCACCAGAGTCATCACCACCTGCACTTAGGCTCCCAGTCTGCTCCCCAGCAGCAACAAGCAGCTCTGGGCCCGGCTGTAGCGGGCTGTGCATCCCATCGCCGCTACAGCCAGGACCACCACCACCACCACTGCTGCCGCCCACGCTAGGCCCTCGAGACGGCGGCGGCTTAACCACTGAACCGTGCCCAACCGCTTGACTTCCCGACACGGAGGAAGGGGGGAAAGAAGGTGGGATTCTGGCGCTCGGGCTGGGTCGGAGAGATCGAGCAGAAGGCACTAACACCGATGGACTTCCCGACAGGGAGGAGGATGCGGAGGAGAAAGAAGGCGAGATTTTGGCGCTCGGGCTGGGTCGGAGAGACCGGGCAGCAGGCACTGATCCTGATCCCCCTCCGCCTTTGCTTCGAGCAGCCGGGATTCTCAACTCAGGATGCTCTGTGGGATGCTCTGTTGGACCCCCCGCGCTACTGCTATGCCCGCCGCCAAGCGCCGCTGCTGCTGCAGACAAAACGCTCCCAGTAGCCTCTGCTCCCACTCCCCCGCCTCCTCCTCTTTCCCCTTCTGCCCCTCCGCCGCCTGCTCCCCACCCCCCTCCTTCAACCTTGGGGCTGGACGGGGCAGTGGGACCCCTGGATCGGAGGTAGTTGCTATAAGAGGAAACACTTCCCGTTCGGGAAAGTACACGGGGGAAGCCCTGGTGGGCGACAGTCTGCTGTAAAACGCTGCGGGGGACGAGTTTCAGGAGCTCCTCGGCTTTCTCTGCCCGGTGCTTCTCTTTGTTAAGAGCGGCTTTTAGCTGAGAGATCTCGTGGTTTAAGGTTGCCATCTCATGGGTGAGGCGCTTGACTGACTCCTCTGCCTCATGCCGCTTCTTCTCCTCGCGTTGCTGAGTGGGAGGGAGGAGGGGGGAAAGGGAGAGAGCACGAGATGAGGCGCTGGACTGACTCCTCTGCCTCGTGCCGCTTCTTCTCCTTGCGTTGCTGGGGAGGGGAGAGGAGAAAGGGGAAGGGAGAGGCATGAGGGGAAGTGTCAGGATGGGAGGGGGTAGGAGATTTCCTCGTTGAGAGCTGCCATCTCGTGGATGAGGCACTTGACTGACTCCTCTGCCTCTTGCCGCTTCTTCTCCTCGTGTTGCTGGGGAGGTAGGGTGGGGAGGAAGGGGGGAAGGAAAGGGAAGGGCAGTGCAGACCCCCCCGGGAGACGCACCTTGATGCGGCGCAGCATAGTGAAGCACAGCATAGTGAAGCGCAGCATAGTGAAGCGCACAATATTGAAGCACAGAATAGTGAAGCGCAGCATAATGAAGCGCAGCATAATGAAGCGCAGCACAGTGAAGCGCAGCATAGTGAAGCGCAGCATAGTGAAGCGCAGCATAGTGAAGCGCAGCATTGGAAGCGCAGCATAGTGAAGCGCAGCATAGTGAAGCGCAGCATAGTGAAGCGCAGCATAGTGAAGCGCAGCATAGTGAAGCGCGGCAGAGTGAAGCGCAGCAGAGTGAAGCGCAGCATAGTGAAGCGCAGCAGAGTGAAGCGCAGCAGAGTGAAGCGCAGCATAGTGAAGCGCAGAATAGTGAAGCGCAGAATATTGAAGCGCAGCAGAATGAAGCGCAGCACAGTGAAGCGCAGCATAGTGAAGCGCAGCATAGTGAAGCGCAGAATATTGAAGCACAGCAGAATGAAGCGCAGCACGGTGAAGCGCAGCATAGTGAAGCGTAGCATAGTGAAGCGCAGCATAGTGAAGCGCAGCATAGTGAAGCGCAGCATAGTGAAGCGCAGCATAATGAAGCGCAGCATAGTGAAGCGCAGCATAGTGAAGCGCAGCATAGTGAAGCGCAGCATAGTGAAGCGCAGCATAATGAAGCGCAGCATAGTGAAGCGCAGCATAGTGAAGCGCAGCATAGTGAAGCGCAGCATAGTGAAGCGCAGCATAGTGAAGCACAGCATAGTGAAGCGCAGCATAGTGAAGCGCAGCATAGTGAAGCGCAGTTCGTCCACATAGCAAGACCACAGCCAAGGGAGCTTCTAACTTGGTTGGTGCGTTGGCAGAGCACGTCTCCCAACACGCAAACACATTGCAAGACTGCATGCCTAGCCAGGTGCGCCCTGCCAGCCTAGAATTTCAGCCAGCTGAGCAGTGCACATTGATGCGTGCGGCGCAGCACACCAACACACATCCTCTTGGAGTAGGCTAGTCTTCGCTCTGTATCTTATTCTGGCCCTAAATGATTTTCCGGCCAGTTTAAGACCTCGCTTCATTTCCGGTTCGGTTTAGATTCATTTTGGAGTTTGCTCCTAGACTTAACACACCCTAGGTTCAGACGGGGTTTAAACCCAACCACCTCTATGACTTTGTACTCACATCGACCTAGTGCAACTTTTTCAACTCCGCCTTTGAGTCAACTCAGACACAGCTTCTAACATCTTCAACTCCTTCGCTATTCATGGCTGCCTCAATCCTCAATTCAACACACCCAACACACACCCTGCTTCTCTACACTGCTCGCAACCAACCTACCCACTTTGAGGCCACACAGCATAGCGATGCGCAGCTCGTCCAGTCCATGGAAGCCTCCACCTTGGTTGGAGCGCAGCAGAGCAAATCGCAGCACACACGGCCCAATAACGTCCTGACGCCCCTGCCTAATCCTCCACACTGCTAGCAATCAACCCACCTTGAGGCCACGCAGCATGGCGATGCGCAGCTCGTCCATGGAAGCTTCCACCTTGGTTGGTGCATAGCGGAGCAAGTCTCAACACACACGGCCCACCCAGTCACCTCTTCATGAGCCTCAAACCTGCTAGCTAATCAACCCACCTTGAGGCCGCGCAGCATAGCGATGCGCAGCTCGTCCATTGAAGCTTCCACCTTGGTGCGCGCCGGGGCAAGCAGTGCCGCCCGCTGTGCCGCCTGCAGGTGTGGCAGAGGAGAGGAGACAAGATCAAGAAATGAGGAGGAGGAGAAGGAGGAGGTTTTTTTGAGCGACAAAAAACCACATCAAGCCTGCTAAAGCGCGGAGGTTTTTGAGCGACAAAAAAAGAGCTAGGACAACAGAAGGGACAAAAAAGGAGAGGGAGGAGGACGAGGAGCAGGAGGGATGAAAGTGGAGGCAGTGAGAGGAAAGGGGTTGGGGAAAGGAAGGGACAGAGCAAGCAGCGCTGCCCGCTGTGCCGCCTGCAGGCGGGGCGGGGGAGGGGAAGACACCAGTGCCAAATGGAGTAAGATTGCAATGTTTCATCGCATCTTACTCCTTGCAAAATGCACCTCCTTCTTTCATCGTCTTCAGTCTCATACGAACCACCTTCACCTGCAGGCACCGCCTCATTTCCCATCTCACCAAGGCTCTAACACTAGCAACCTCCCCTCATTCCCTCCACCGCTCACCTCCTTCATCTTCTTCAGTCTCATCCGCGCCATCTTCACTTGCAGGCACCACCTCTTTTCCCATCCCACCAAGGCTCTAACACTAGCAACCTCCCCTCATTCCCTCCACCGCTCACCTCCTTCATCTTCTTCAATCTCATCCGAGCCACCTTCACTTGCAGGCACCGCCGCATGGCACCCCACGGCTTGCGCACCCTATGGCCCCGCCAGTAGCGCTGTAGGTGAGAGGTTCAGGAGGGGATTGTGGGGAGTGAGGGGAATGGGGGAAAGGGATGAGGTAATCAATTCACCTTCACCTGAAGGCACCGCTTCATGGCGCCCCATGGCCTGCGCACCCTGTGCCCCAGCCAGTAGCGCTGCAGATGGGAGGTGGCGGAGGGGTTTGGGTAGGAAAGGCGGTTTGGGGTTGGGGGAGAGTATACCACGTCCTTTCCTGCTGCATGAAAGTCGCGTTTAAGAACCCCTAGACACACCCTGCCCAAAACACTGTCACCGCGTTGAACTGTCCCAAAACACTGTCACCGCGTTGAACCGTCCCACACACCTGAATGACGACAGTTGCCAGCGATCTCCTGAGCAGGATGCACCGTTTTCTCACCTGCTGCATGCGCACGTTCTTTTGAATCACAATCACTGCTAAAAGCCCTTAGTCACACCAGGCCCGAGACACTGTCACCACTTTCAACCGTCCCACACACCTGAATGACGATGGTGGCCAGCATCCCCCCGAGCAAGATGTACCGCTTCCTCGCTTGCTGCATGCGCACGTTCTTCTGAATGACAATCGCTGCTAAAAGTCCTTAGTCGCACCAGGCCCGAGACACTGGCACAGCCGCACCGCTTTCAACCGTTCCACACACCTGAATGACAATGGTAGCTAGCGTCCTCCTGAGCAGGATGTATCGTTTTCTCGCCTGCTGCATGCGCACATTCTTCTGAATCACGATCGCTGCAAACTTGAGCTCCCAGAAGCGCTTCTCCATTAGGAAACGCCGCACGTGCTTCTGAATGACAAGGGCTGCTGCGTCCTCCCTCAACTCCCTCAATAGCTTCCTAGCTCGGTAGGCTGCGAGTGGCGGGTGGCATGGGTAAAGAGGAACAAGTAGGGGAGAGGGAAGGGTGTGGGGTGAAAGAAGAAGCATGCAGTACAGCACGGCGTGAGAGAGTGAGTGACAGCTGCAAGTTCACTTGAGCTCCCAGAAGCGCTTCTCCATCAGGAAGCGCAGCACGTGCTTCTGAATCACAATGGCTGCCGCGTGGCATAGGAGATGCCATTTGGCAACTGCGAGTGGGTGGAAGTGATCTTGCCACTTGTACACATTCCTGACTCAACTGCGATGCATGGTAAGACCACCTCTTAAAAAACCTATTATACCTTCTCAAGACCCTGCATACTTAAACAATTTACTCAGATTCTACCATCTTAAGTTCACTCCTAATCTTAGCATCAAATGAACTAGACAGCCTGAAACAGCCACAACAGTATGGACTAATGTTGTCACAAGCAGCAGCTTCAACCATTGTATCAAGTAGCAGCAGCTTCAACCATGGAATCAAGCAGCAGCGGCTTCAACCATGGTATCAAGCAGCAGCAGTTTGTATCAAGCAGCAGCAACTACAACCATGGTATCAAGCAGCGGCAGATTCAATCATGGTATCAAGCAGCAGCAACTTCAACCTCGGTATCAAGCAACAGCAGCAACACTCTAAAACATCATGGTTAAATCTGCTGCTGCTTGATCTCACGGTTGAAGCTGCTGCTGCTTGATACCATGATTGAAGCTGCTGCTGTTTGATACCATGGTTGAAGCTCCTGCTACTTGATACCATGGTTGAAGCTGCTGCTTGTGACAATATAGCCCATATTGTTGTGGCTGTTTTCAGGTGTCTAGTTCATATGATGCTAAGATTAAGAGTGAACCTAAGTAGGTAGGATTTGAATAAATTGTTAAAGTAGGTAGGGTCTTGAGAACGCATGATAGGTTTTTTAAGAGGAATGTGTACAAGTGGCAAGATCCGTTCTACCCACTCGCATTTGACAAGTGGCATCCTATGCCACTTGATAATTTAGGTGCTTCTGGAGGAATACAGCTGCTGCATCGTGCACCTCAGCAAAACTCGCCTCAATTCCTGCACCAGCTTGCATTGCATGTGCTGCTGCCTCCAGCGCAAGAGGCTTCTAAGCCAAATTGTTCAAGAAAAACTCTTGAACAGAATAGCAAGCATGCCAGACAATGAACCGCCTTGCATGCATTATACCACTCCTCACCGCACTGCACTGCAACTCACCGCACCTCTTCAGCATTTGTGGATGGATGTGAGTGGCCGCTCACATGCACTCTTACTTCCAAAGAAAGAACATTTCGAACAATAAGCAGTCAAAGAACAGACAAGACACCACACCACACCACACTGCACCGCACCGCACCTCTCCAGTGCTTTTGAATGACAATAGCAGCCCGCTTGCGCTCCTGCTTCCAGAGGAAGAGCCGCACGGCCCTCTGAATCTTGGAGGCAGCGAGGAAGCGCTGAGACGACCCACCCAGTAGAGAAATAACCACAACACAGGGAGAGAACGATGTACACCACCACACCGCACTGCACCACACTGGACCACACCACACCACACCACACCACACCACACCACACCATAACGCACCTCTCCAGTGCTTCTGAATGACAACAGCAGCCCGCTTGCGCTCCTGCTTCCACAAGAATCGCCGAACGGCCCTCTGGATCTTGGTGGCAGCGAGGTTCATACGGTCGAGACGGAGAGTCTCGAGCGTCACCAGCTGCAAGCCCTTCATAAACACCTTTGTCTTGCCGATCTGAGGGAGGGGTTGGGGTGACGAGGGATAAGAGGGGAACAAGGGAGGAGGGGGAGGAGGAATCAGCACCAGCGTCACCAGCTGCACCCCTTTCATAAACACCTTGGTGTGACCGATCTGAGGGAGGAGTTGGGGTGACGAGGGATAAGAGGGAACGAGGGATGAGGGGGAGGAGGAATCAGCACCAGCGTCACCAGCTGCACCCCCTTCATATACACCTTGGTGTGACCGAGGAGGGGATCGGGGCATGAAGGAAGGGCTGACTTTTGAGTCCACTCAAAAGTCAGCGAGGAGGGAGTTGGGCAATGAAGGAAGGGCTGACTTTTGAGTCCACTCAAAAGTCAGCGAGGAGGGAGTTGGGTAATGAAGGAAGGGCTGACTTTTGAGTCCACTCAAAAGTCAGCAAGGAGGGAGTTGGCAAATGAAGGAAGGGCTGACTTTTGAGTCCACTCAAAAGTCAGCAAGGAGGGAGTTGGGGCATGAAGGAAGGGGGTGGGAGACAAACAAGGGAGGGAAAGAGCGGAAAACGGGGGAGTAGGAGAAGGGATGAACTCAAGCGTCACCAGCTGCACCTCCTTTATGAACACCTTTGTGCGGCCGACCTGAGGGAGGGGGATTGGGGCATGAAAAAAGGGGGAAACAAACAAAACGAGGGAAAGAGCGGAGAGTGGGGGGGTAGGAGAAGGGATGAATTCGAGCGTCACCAGCTGCACCCCCTTTGTGAGCACCTTGGAAGTCGGAGTTTACCACCTGACGTTGATGTCACCTGATGTCACACCAGCTCACCTGGCAATGTTGAATCCACCTGACACAACCTGGGATTTCACCTGATAGTCTTCCAGCTCTGCCTGGGCCATAACTGCTTGAATCATCTCCTGGTGCTGTCCAGCTAGCCTGTCAGGCGGTGGGATGGGATGTTGGGAAAGTAGGAGAATGACCATGTGAGAATGGGAAGGGAAGGCATGGTGGTATGGGTAGGATGAGCAGTGTTTCTGCCTGCCGCCATACCCCTACCTGAGCTGTGGGTCATGACTGCACGAATCATCTCCTGCTGCCCAGCTAGCCTGTCAGATGGATGGTGAGATGGGGGGATGATGGAAAGGGTGAAGGTGGGGAGGTGGGAAGGATTGATGGTGGGGAGGTGGGGAGGTGGGGAGGTGGGACGGTGGGATGTTGGTGGGGAGGTGGGACGGTGGGATGGTGGTGGGGAGGTGGGAAGGTGGGATGGTGGCTACGTTGGAAAATACGCCCTTGGGGGGTGGGCGTATTGCGTATATACGCTAGAGTATGTACGCAATACGCTAATACGCCTAGAAATCGCTAAAATACGCCGGAGCAGCCCGTAAAAAAAAAAAACAAAAAAAAAAAAAAAATCCAAAAAAATTGCGAGAATTTGCGACGGCGAGAATTGAACCCTCGACCTCGCACAGCACCCAACCCCTGTCTGCAATTTGAAATTCAAAATCCAACCCCTCCCACATCCCCAACCTCACACCACCCCTCTCAACCTCCTAAACTCAACCTCCCCCCTTTCACTCGTTCGAACATCTCCTCAATCCCTACACAGCTCATCTTTCCTTCAATCCCGCATTTCTCGTTTTGCATTTCATCCAACTCTCGTCAAGCTCGAACTCTCCTAGCTTTAGTACTTCCTCGCCATGGCGACCTTTACTCCCTACATTTCGAGGGCGGAACCTGCCCGGGAAAAAGTTTTACCTGCCCGCCCAGCGTATTTTTGCGTATCAGCAGTACGCCAGCCATGGCGTACCGCGTACATACCAAGCGTATAATACGCTAGCGTATAATACTCGATACTCGTATTTTCCAACGTAGGATGGTGGGGAGGCGGGAAGGTGAGATGGTGGAACGGCAGAGATGTTGGGATGATTGGATGGTGGGATGAGAAGGGTTACACACACAGAGTGATTCGTCACAATATACACCCTGTGGTGTGGAGCAAGGCAGGCATGAAGAAATAGCAAGAAAGCACTCTTCCTCCTTCCTCTTCTGCCAACCCCTTCCTTCCTGCCATGGAAGGGGAAAGGGGAGCTCTTCCTGCCACCCACCCCTTTCCCCCTCCATCGCACCCCTTCCTTCCTGCCATGGTGCTGCCCACCCCTTTCTCCCTCCATCGCACCCCTCCCCCCCTGCCGCCCACCTTTTTCTGTCTTGGCTCGGCAGCAGCGGGCTGAACCGCGCCTCAAAGCCTCTTGCTGCGATGTCTCTTAAGCATCACCTCGTTTTGCAGGTGCGCTTTGAGAATTCTCAAAACTCATCTGCAACATCCAAGTTTCACCTTTTTCTTTCTTGGCTCGGCAGCAGCGGGCTGAACCGTGCCTCAAAGTCTTCAAACGTGCGCCGAGCTGGGTAGCCCGTGGAGCAAAGTCGCACTGCCTCTAGCACACCCTGGGGGGAGAGGAGAGGAGGAGAAGGGTCAGGGACGAAGAGGGTCAGTGGGGACAACTTTTGAGACATTTCAAAAGACACAGAGGGTCAGTGGGGACAACTTTTGAGACGTCTCAAAAGACGCAGAGGGTCAGTGGGGACAACTTTTGAGATGTCTCAAAAGACGCAGAGGGTCAGTGGGGACAAGTGCGCCGAGCCGGGTAGCATGTGGAGCAAAGTCGCACTGCTTCTAGCACACCCTGGGAGAAACGAGGGGAGCAGCATTAGGGACAGGGGGGTGGAGCGGCATTAGGGACAGGGGGGTGGAGCGGCATTAGGGACAGGGGGGTGGAGCGGGACAAAAAGGGACGACAAAGACGAGCGAGAGGTGCTTGCTAAGGGGATAGCCTGTGGAGCACTCACCCCTGAGCGGTACTCACCCCTGAGCGGTACTCACCCCTGAGCGGTACTCACCCCTGAGCGGTACTCACCCCTGAGCGGTACTCACCCCTGAGTGGTACTCACCCCTGACCTGACCCAATGGGCCCTGCCTGCCCCGCTCACCCCTGATCGCAACTGCTCCACCACAAGCGTGTTGGAGAACTTCTGCGGCTTGAGGTCCTTGTTGGGCTTCACACACCGCACATAGTGCGGCTCGGTTGCGTTGAGCGTGCGCATCAACTCGCCCAGTTGCTCCTGGGGAGGGGGAGGGATGATATGGGATGTGGCGAGGAGAGGGATAGGGATGGGAAAGGCAAGAGGAGCCGATGACAGCAAGCCCACCAGAAAAGCCCACCTATATCCTTAACACGTGAAGTGAAACGCATAGTATCCTTGTTGAGGGATAACCTTGTTGACCACTAGACCTGGTTGTGCTTCCTCCCCATGCTCCCCTCACCTTGAACCTCTTCCCCAGGGACACGGCCTTCCCTGCCTTCCCAGTCTCGGGCGGTGGGAAGAGCGTTCGCACAAAGGCAGAGTGCGACCGTGCCAGCAGCTCCTCATGCTCTGGCACCAGGGCATCGAGGTTCTTTACCAGAAACTCCTCTGCCTGGTACTTCACCTGCAGTGGGATGAAGGGGAGAATGAAGGGGAGAAATGGCACGAGTCAATGTGTGCAAGATTTCAGAGCCGGAGCACGAGCGCGTCGAGGTTCTTCACCAGAAACTCCTCCGCCTCGTACTTCACCTGTAGGTGGATGTGGGGAGGGGTGTGGGGGTAGGGGATGTTGCCTTCAGGCAGCCCTCTCATCCCTCTCACATGACTCCTCGCCAATATAGGGCGTCCCATACCCCCCCTCGCCCCCCACCTTGCCGGCGTAGTGCTTGACACTGAACTCAGCTTGCGACATCTTGGACCTCTGCTTGTCCCACCTGACCCGGACAAGCGCCTGTGCTCGGAACATCTCATACACCTCCGTTTCCCCTCCCTCCCATGTGATCCCTTAATACAGGGTGGGCGGCCAACCCCACCCACCCACCCACGACATTCCCTCCAATCTCCCTACAATCTAAGCACCCCAACTCCTTCCCCCCACCTTGCCAGCGTAGTGCTTCACGCTGAACTCAGAACGCAACATCTTGGACTTGGAGAAGCGCTTGTGCTTGAAACATCTCACACACATGCCTCACACGCCTCCACTGTCCCTCCCTCGCACATGACATGAACCCCTAATAAGGGGGGCACGTCCGTCCCATACCCTCCCTTCCTCGCACCTTGCCAGCGTAGTGCTTCACACTGAAGTCAGCTCGTGACATCTTAGACTTGGAGAAGCGCTTGTGCTTGAAACATCTCACACACCTGCCTCGTCCCTCACTCACTCCCCCATTTCTCACCCGAACACAAGATGGTCTTCTTAACCCCTTCAAAACATCCCATACCCACCACCACCACCTCCCCACCTTGCCAGCATAGTGCTTGACACTAAAGTCAGAGCGCGACATCTTGGATTTGGAGAACCGCTTGTGCTTGCCCAACGTGCTGTAGAGCGTCTGGCAGAAGGTCTCAGGCGTGGAGCTGTCTAGCTTGCTGGTGGGGGGGGGGGAAGGAGGGAGGGTGCGGCAGGCAGGGGCGGTTGGGAGAAGAGGCAAGAGAGCAGGAGGGCTCAGGGTGACAAGCTGGGTAGAAGTATCGTTCATGGCAGGAACGATACAGAAGTATCGTTCATGGCAGGAACGATACAGAAGTATCGTTCATGGCAGGAACGATACAGAAGTATCGTTCATGGCAGGAACGATACAGAAGTATCGTGCAAAGGATCGAACACACAGAAGGATGGGTGAACGAGATCATGGGGTTTGATGAGGCTCATAGAATGTTCAGAGCGCATACACAAGAAACCAGTAGGTAGGGGGTTTTCGAAAGCTATCACTGCGTATATGCACTGAATGCCTTGTATAGTACGTACCAGGCAGAGTCCAGGAGTGCAAGAATACCTTGATTCTGCAATCACGTGCGCAGAGGGGGACAGGGGTACAGAGGCGCAGGGAGAGAGGGGAATGGGCGCATGCATTTGCAGATGTGGTACACATGAGTCCAGGGAATGGCACACATGAGTCCAGGGAATGGCACACATGAGTCCAGGGAATGGCACACATGAGTCCAGGGAATGGCACACATGAGTCCAGGGAATGGCACACATGAGTCCAGGGAATGGCACACATGAGTCCAGGGAATGGCACACATGAGTCCAGGGAATGGCACACATGAGTCCAGGGAATGGCACACATGAGTCCAGGGAATGGCACACATGAGTCCAGGGAATGGCACACATGAGTCCAGGGAATAGCACACATGAGTCCAGGGAATGGCACACATGAGTCCAGGGACATGGGCACACACACACACATGCACACATGCATGGACACACACACACATGCACACATGCATGGACACATACACGCATGCGCACATGGGCACATGCACACATGCACGAATGCACACATGCGAACATACATGCATGAAAAGGTTCGACGAACCAGCACCAGAGAGCAAGAAGCATCGCATCACATGCACATAAGCAAAGCCCGCTCGCCCCAGCTGTTGCTGCAAGTTTGAAGAAGTGTTTTGAGACGTCTCAAAACACTTCTTCAAACACCAGAGAGCAAGAAGCATCGCATCACATGCACATAAGCAAAGCCCGCTCGCCCCAGCTGTTGCTGCAAGTTTGAAGAAGTGTTTTGAGACGTCTCAAAACACTTCTTCAAACACCAGAGAGCAAGAAGCATCGCATCACATGCACATAAGCAAAGCCCGCTCGCCCCAGCTGTTGCTGCAAGCGAAACAGAGGAATCCAAAGCAGATTGCATCAAATATACTAAAAGAAACAGATGATCTCAATTTCTTCCAGAAAATTTATCCCCCCTCCTCCTCCTCCCTGCCCCAGGAAATTCGTCTCTTACCTTCACTACAAAGAAGAGACCACCCCTCACCCACCCCTTCAATTTGCTCAAGCACGCCTGGGTTGTCAGCAAAATCAGTTCGAGACCATTCTATGCCCTCTGCCTCGTACTAGTCGGGTTTTTTAGGCTTCTCAGACAGACGCCCTCTCTACTCACTCACCCCTTCAACCAGCTCGAGCACGTCTTGGTTGTCAACGAAATCAATCCGAGACCAATCTATGCCCTCTGCCTCGTACTCCTCCTGCTGCTGCTTCAACACGTGCTGTGTGTGGAGAAATGGGGGGGAAGGGAAGGGGTTGTGGGGGTATGGTGGTAAGATTGGGGAAGTGAGCGACGCACACAGGTCTATGCCCTCTGCGGCTCTGCCTCGTACTCCTCCTGCTGCTGCTTCAACACATGCTGTGGTGGGAAGGAGTGGGGGTAGGTGTTGAGGGATAGTGGGGGATGTTGAGGGGTGGCGTGAGGTGTTTTTCCTGGGAGTGGGTGGTTGCGGTGGGGGAAAGCGGGTGAATCAAACCAGTCTGTGCCCTCTGCCTCATACTCTGCCATTTGCAGGCAGAGGCTAAGTTGCAAAATACGCTTATAGCGTATATACGCGTATCGTATACACGCTAGCGTATATACACTATACGCGTAAGGGAGCGATTTGGACATACGCTTTTTGGGGCAGGAAAAAACCTTTCCCGGGCAGGGAAAAAATTCCGCCCGGGCTATTATAGGGGGGGGGGGGATCTAAGGGGTTATGTTTCAGAGGTAAGTTTTTCTCCATTCCAAGATAACCACCCTTGACTCGGCACAAAATCGGGTTAAGATGCAGAGTTCGTAGGCTATAGACTGCAATAGCGTTGCGCGAATCTGCTCTGCTTCGGGCTCGCGATCACAAGGCATGATTGCTAGAGTGTAGGAGGAGGCGTAGGAGAGATCCTGGACAGGGAAACCATCGCCAATGCTGGAATTCGTGCCCCACACCCATCGCCAATGTTGCCTTAAAAACCAATTCCCCCTCCCATCACCTATCTTCACCGCATTGCATCTATCTCATCCAACCAATTTGATATTTGAAATTTGTACAGTCGTCACGTCACTTCCAGTCCAGATCTACAAGACGTTGATATAGGGAGAGTCTTTCCCCCCATCCCCTCTGCGGGAAGAACCTTCAATCTGCGCGGATCTGCGGGGAAGGGAAATTGCCGATCAGCGCGGAAATTGCCGTTCACTCTTGCACAAATCGCGGACGTGAATTTGACGGTGGCAAAATGCTCGTCGTGCAATTCCGCATCTTTCCGTATATTCACATTTTTTCGGTCGGGCTGCCCCAAAAAAAATTGGCAAGCGTATAGTGTATTACCTTGCGTTTAGCGTTTAGCGTTTAGCGTGTAAACGCTAGCGTATATCCGCTAAACGCACAGTGTCCTGAGCGTATTTTGCAACTTAGGGCAGAGGTGGGAAGGGATAATGGCAGGACGTTGAGTAGTAGCACGGGACAGAGCAGAAGAGAAGGGGACGAAGGAAAAGGGAAAGCACAGAGAAACAGAAACACCCCTTACTTCATTGTCCCAGCCCAAGTGCCTGAAATTCTGCTCGGTAGGTTCTGGTGAGTGACCTACCGAGTTGAAATGCTGCTGCAGCTTTTCGTTGGTGAGATTGATACACAGCTGCTCAAAACTGGGCGTGAGAAACGGGAGAGAAGGAAGAGTATGGGGTGAAGACGTTTGGGAGAAGAGCAGGAAGAGAGGGGAGAGAGAAAACATACAGGTGAAGAGGGGGGGCAGAAATAGGTGGAGAAACGAAACAGGAGGAAACTGGGCAAGAAGAGTGGCAAACGAGAGCAGTAAGTCCACAAGAGTGGCAATCCAATCCAGACAAAGGTTTCAACAAGCATGAGTGCACGCACCCTCGATTAAAAGTGCACGCACCTGTTGACTTTGAAATGCTCGAATCCGTAAACATCAAGGACTCCAATGATAGACGCGTCGTTTTCTTTGAGTCGACTCCACACCCCCCTCTCCCCAACACACGCACGCACACCTGTCGATATTGAATTGCTCGAAGCCATAAATATCAAGGACTCCAATGATGGACGCGTGGTTTGTATTGAGTCGACTCAGCACACACGCATGCACCCCCTCCCCAACACACACACACACACGCACGCGCGCACACACACACACACACACACACACACACACACACACACACACACACACACACACACACATGCACACACGCACCTGTTGACTTTGAAGTGCTCGAAGCCGTAGATATCAAGGACTCCGATGATGGACGTGTGGTTTCCTTTGAGTCGACTCCACACACACGCATGCACCCTCCCCTCCCCAACACACACACACGCATGCGCACCTGTTGACTTTAAAGTGCTCGAAGCCATAGATATCAAGGACTCCAATGATGGACGCGTGGTTTGTATTGAGTCGACTCAACACACACGCATGCACCCTCCCCCCCCTCCCCATCGCTCACACACACACACACACACACACACACGCACACACCTGTTGACTTTGAAGTGCTCGAAGCCATAAATATCAAGGACTCCGATGATGGACGCGTGGTTGGGGTCCTGGCCGATGCTCTCGTTGACCTTTGACACAATCCTGGCAGACAGAACAGCAGACAGACGGAGAGCAAAGGCACAACAAAGGGAGGCGTATGGTTGGGGTACTGGCCGATGCTCTCGTTGACCTTTGACACGATCTTGGTGGCGGGAGGCAGAGTGGCAGACAGAGAGTGGAATCAACTCAGGGTGGCAAGGGAAGTGAGATGACAGGGCCCGCCCGATGCATGGTTGGGATCCTTCCTGCTGGATGCTCTCATTGACCCTTTGACACGATCCTGTTGGCGGCAGAGAGAGGGTGGCAGAGAGAGGGTGGCAGAGAGACAGCGAGTGGAAGCAGTAAAAGGTGGGCATGCTAGTGAGGAGAAGCAAGGAGGTTTGGGTCCTGCCTGATGCTCTCATTGACCTTTGACACAATCCTGGTGGCGGGGACGGGAGGAGCAGCGGAAGAACAGAACACATGAACTGGGATAAACACGTGATTGAAGAAGGGTTTTGAGACGTCTCAAAACCCTTCTTCAATCAAGAACAGAACACATGAACTGGGATGAAACTCAACGAGAGAAGGGGTTGGGACGGCGAGCTCACCAGGTTTAAGGGTTTAGGGTGTCTCGCTTGGTGCTGTGGATATGACTCAAGCATTCACCATTCGAACAGGACACGGGGGTTGGAGGAGGCACCCACCAGTCGAAGAGGCGCGAGTAAAGGAACTTGGCGAGGGTGTCTCGCTTGACTGACGCCTTCTTGGGATCCAGCGGGCTCTTAATGACCTCCCGCCCGAACTTGCGCGTCTGAGAGACCAGCGAGTCCCACAGCGCGGTTTCGTCGCACCTGAGGAGGGAGGGGAAGGGGATGAGGGGTAGAAGGTGGGCGGAGGAGCGACGAGGACAACGAGTGAGGGCCCATCCCCTTCCAGGTACTATCTACTCCATAGCCATGCCATGCCCTCCACTCCACCTACTCGAGCAGGCGAGCCACAGTCTTAACTGCGGCCTCTGCCTTGTCGTTCTTGGCCACCAGGAGAGGTTGCTCGCCTGATGAAAGCACAGTACCGCCCGTCGCTTACCCAGGTAACACCCAAACAACAGGCACCCTCCCCTCCACCTACTCTAGCAGGCGTGCCACTGTGTTGACTGCAGGCTCTTCCCCATCATTGTTTGCCACCAGAGGAGGCTGCTCTTCTGCTCGCCATTCCATGCCACCCACACTGACAGCAGCATACAGCCCACCCCCTGTCGTTCTTTGCCACCAGAGGAGGCTGCTCTTCTGCTCGCCATTCCATGCCACCCACACTGACAGCAGCATACAGCCCACCCCCTGTCGTTCTTTGCCACCAGAGGAGGCTGCTCTTCTGCTCGCCATTCCATGCCACCCACACTGACAGCAGCATACAGCCCACCCCCTGTCGTTCTTTGCCACCAGAGGAGGCTGCTCTTCTGCTCGCCATTCCATGCCACCCACACTGACAGCAGCATACAGCCCACCCCCTGTCGTTCTTTGCCACCAGAGGAGGCTGCTCTTCTGCTCGCCATTCCATGCCACCCACACTGACAGCAGCATACAGCCCACCCCCTGTCGTTCTTTGCCACCAGAGGAGGCTGCTCTTCTGCTCGCCATTCCATGCCACCCACACTGACAGCAGCATACAGCCCACCCCCTGTCGTTCTTTGCCACCAGAGGAGGCTGCTCTTCTGCTCGCCATTCCATGCCACCCACACTGACAGCAGCATACAGCCCACCCCCTATCGTTCTTTGCCACCAGAGGAGGCTGCTCTTCTGCTCGCCATTCCATGCCACGGTGCCACCCACACTGACAGCAGCATACAGCCCACCCCCTGTCGTTCTTTGCCACCAGAGGAGGCTGCTCTTCTGCTCGCCATTCCATGCCACCCACACTGACAGCAGCATACAGCCCACCCCCTGTCGTTCTTTGCCACCAGAGGAGGCTGCTCTTCTGCTCGCCATTCCATGCCACCCACACTGACAGCAGCATACAGCCCACCCCCTATCGTTCTTTGCCACCAGAGGAGGCTGCTCTTCTGCTCGCCATTCCATGCCACGGTGCCACCCACACTGACAGCAGCATACAGCCCACCCCCTGTCGTTCTTTGCCACCAGAGGAGGCTGCTCTTCTGCTCGCCATTCCATGCCACGGTGCCACCCACACTGACAGCAGCATACAGCCCACCCCCTGTCGTTCTTTGCCACCAGAGGAGGCTGCTCTTCTGGCTTCATTGAAATCACTTTTGAGAATTCTCACAAGTGATTTCAATACCACCAGAGGGGGCTGCTCTCCTGGCTTTTCATCCCATCCCACCCATGCTGACCGCATGGCCCCTTCCCAGGTACCACCCACATCACAGGCGAAACCTACTCGAGCAGGCGTGCTACAGTCTTGACTGCAGCCTCTGCCTTGTCGTTCTTTGCCACCAGAGAGGGGAGCTCTCCTGTGCCATCCGTGCTCTCTGGCTGCATGAAGTCCACGTTGCCCAGATGCATAATGGCCGCCACCACTGCAAATATGCCCTCCTGAGATGGGGGAGATGGCAGCAATGAGCACGAGTGAAGAGCAGGAGTGGAAGAGCAGGTGTGAGGAGCATGAGTGAAGGGCTGCTCGCCTGTCCCATCCGTGCTCTCTGGCTGCATGAAGTCCACATTGCCCAGATGCATTATGACTGCCAGCCACCACTGCGAATATGCCCTCCTGGTGGTGGGGGAATAAGTTGGGGAGTATATGGGGAAACGAGAGAATGAGGGAATGAGTCAGTGGGGCGAAAGCATGATCAAGGGGTGCTACTTTCCGCTCACTGCTCCCTGATTTGTGCTCTCTGCTGTCTCCCCTGCCCCGCCCCTCCATGCTCTCCGGCTGGGTGAACGCCACAGCCCAGCCATGCCCAATCCCCACAACTCACCCCCTTGCATCCACCCACCCGCTCCCGTGACTCCAACCTAGGGTTGAGCAGCTTCACGAACGCTCGAGGCGAACCGAACAGGCTTATTTTTTGCCTAAATCGTTCGGGGCGAACATGTTCGGTGTTCGCCCGAACACGTTCGTCGTTCGACAAGGTCATTTGGCGGCGGCGGGTCGAACACGAACATGTTCGACAGCACGGCACAGCCGTGCTCTCCAGCTGCGTAAAATCCACATTGCCCAGATGCATAATGGCCGCCACCACTGCGAATATGCCCTCCTGAGATAGGGGGTTGGGGGAAAGGGCCAAACGCATGACCAAGGCAAGCTGATTCTGCCCTCTGCCCTCTGCCCTCTGCCCTCTGCCCTCTGCCCTCTGCCCTCTGCCCTCTGCTCTCTGTTGTTTGCCCACCCTGCCCTGCTCCATCCGTGCTCTCCGGCTGCGTTAAGTCCATGTTGCCCAGATGCATGATGCCTGCCACCACTGCGAATATGCCCTCCTGGTGGTGGGGAATGGGGTGATGGGGTGATGAGGGAATGGGGCACGGCAATGGGAGAAGCATGAGCAACAGCTGTCCCGTCAGTGCCCTCTGGTCGGGTCGAATGAATTCCACGTTGCCCAGATGCAGTATCGCTGCCACCACTGCGAGTATGCCCTCCTGGTGGTGGGGGGAATGAATGGGGAAACAGGGCACAGGGTTGTGGGCACTCACCCGCTCCCGCGTGTGTTTGAGTCAACTCGAAGCCCACAGCCCATGCCCATTGCCCACAACTCCCATCCTTGCACTCACCCACAGCAAGTCGAACCCCATCAGCAAGTCGTATGGCATGGCACAGCGGGCATGCAAGAGCCCCGACGTGCGTGCGAGTGCAAGCAAGGGCGGGCGAGAGGGAGTGTGAGGGTCATTTTGAATTCATCACCCGCTTGGGCCCACCTGCTCGCTTGGGTCGAACCCCATCACCTGACTTTTGAGTCGACTCAAAAGTCAGCAGCTAGTTCTCACCTGTTCATGCGGGCCTTTTCAAATTGATCACCACCTTGGGCCCACCTGCTCGCGTGGGTCGAACCCCATCACGTTCATAGCGTTGCGTGTCGATTCATACTCCATCGCGTTGCTGTTCTTTCCGGGCAGCTCGTAGCAGTCGCTCTGCGCCAAGTAGTAAAAATTTGTTCCTCGCTCTCCCTCTGTGGGCAAAGAATACTTTTCTGCTTCCTGTGTGGTGTGGTCCGTGTGGACAGGAAGGAAGAGGAGGCGGGGGGTTGAGGGGGGTTGGGGGAGGGGGGAGGAAGGGCAGGGGGAATAGGGGAGGGAGGAAAGGGGCAACGGGGAGGGAGAAGGAGGTGCATAGCTCGTAACAGTTGCTTTGCTCTACGTCAACCAGAGGAGCTTTGAAGCACGCTCAAGCCTCAACCTCTGTGAGGAGGAAATACTTCTCTGCTTCTTACCGTGTGGACAAAAATGGAGGGAGGAAAAGGGAAAAAGGGAACGAGGAAAGGGAGGCAGAAACGCTTAGCTTAGCTCAGCCCAACGACAAGCGTATTCTGGAGCGACTTTTGAGAATTCTCAAAAGTCGCACTGACAAGCGTATTCTCAAAAGTCGCACTGACAAGCGTATTCTCCCCGTCACTCCCTCGCCCACTCCCACTCACTCCTCACTCCCTCACTCCCTCAATAACTCCTCACTCCCTCACTCACTCCCTCTATAACTCCTCACCCACTCACTCACTCGCTCACTCACTATCTCGCTCGCTCTCTCACCTCGAGCGTGGCCCCATAGAGAAGCTGATAGAAGCAGTGATAGGAGCGCTCCGGGCTAGAAAGCTGCACCACTCTTAACCAGGTCGACTCAAACGCACACACACTCTCACCTCGGGCGTGGCCCCATAGGGCAGCTGGTAGAAGCAGTGATAGGACGCTCGGGGCTACCAAAGTGACTTCTGAGGCGACTCAAAAGTCCTCTCACCTCGGGCGTGGCCCAAGTAGCTGATAGAAGCAGTGGTAGGAGCGCTCAGGGCTACTGATCTGCACCACTCTGGACCGGGAAGGTTGAATCAAACGCACACATACACCATCACAACACCCTCAATCACTCAATCCTCTGACTCACTCGCTTACCTCGGGTGTAGCCCCATAGAGTAGCTGATAGAAGCAGTGATAGGAGCGCTTGGGGTGATAAAGCTGCACCACTTCATACCAAGAAGGTTGACTTAAACGCACACATAAACCATCACAGCACCCTCACTCACTCACTCTCTCCCTCCACTCACTTTCTCACTCACCCACTCACCTCGGGTGTGGCCCCATAGAGCAGCTGATAGAAGCAGTGGTAGGAGCGCTCAGGGCTACTGATCTGCACCACTCTGGACCGCTCTAGCAGGTACGATCTAATAGCTGCCCCTGTCACCCTGCCGTCGCTGTCGAAGTGAATCTCAATGAACTTGCCGAAGCGACTGGTGGGGGAGGGGTGGGCGGGAGAGGGGTCGTGGAATGAGGATGGGGGGCGAGGGGTGGGTGGGGGGTGAGATGGAGAATGAGCAGAGCGCAGGGCATGGAGAATGGCTGCCCCTGTCACCCTGCCATCACTGTCAAAGTGAATCTCAATGAACTTGCCAAAGCGACTGGGGGGCGAGGGGTGGGGGAGAGAGGGTGGGGACGAGGTTGGGAATGGGCAGAGCACAGGGCGTGGAGAATGGCTTCCCCTGTCACTCGGCCGTCACTGTCAAAGTGAATCTCAATGAACTTGCCGAAACGACTGGGGGGCGAGGTAGAAGGCAGAGAGTGTGGGAAGAAAGGGTGTATCAAGGTTAGTTTAGGGTGCTCAGCAGGGGCTTTGGCAACCGAATGGCTGCTCCTGTCACCCTGCCATCGCTGTCAAAGTGAATCTCAATGAACTTGCCAAAGCGACTGGGGCAAAAGGAACGATTGGGCAGAGGCAGAAGGGGAGAATGGGCAGAGCAGAGGGGGTGGGATGGGAAGGGACGGGTGTATCAGGGTCACCTGTCACCCTGCTTTTGCTGTCGATGTACATCTCAGTGAACTTGCAAACGACTGGAGGGAGAGGGATGGGGGAGGAAGGCAGGTAGGGGAAAAGTTGAGGGGGGGGAGGGGTTGGAAAATAATGGGCAGCAGAGGGCGTGGAAAGGAAAGAGTGCGAGGGTTGGTTAAAGCGCATCAGAAGAAGGGGCTGTACAAATTGGCCATCGCTGCCAAGGCGAAGAAGGTGGGTGACAGCGAAGCGCCTGCACCTCCCACCCTGCCATCGCTGTCACCCTGTCACCCTGGCAACCCCTGCCACTCGTGTCACCATGCCATTACTGTCAAAGAGAACCTCAATGAAAGAAAACCTCACTTACAAAAGAGACTGCTCTGCCACCCCTGCAACCCCTGTTGAGGAGCCTGGGAGGGGTCTTACCTCGAGTTGTTATTGCGCACTGTCTTGGCGTTCCCAAACGTCTCCAGGACTTGGTTCGACTGGGGTGGAGGAGGGAAGGAGGGGGACGAAGGGGGTAGGCGGGATGAGGAAAGAGGGGGGAATGAGGGGGCAATCGGGGATGAGGGGAAAGGGCGATGAGTTGTCGTTGCGCATTGTCTTGGCGTTCCCAAACGTCTCCAGTACTTGATTCGACTGGGAGGAGAAGGGAGGAAGGGGGGAAGGGGTTGGGAAGAGGGTGATGGGGAGGGGGGATTGAGAGGACAAGGAGGGATGAGTTGTTATTGCGCACTGCCTTGGCGATCCCAAACGTCTCGAGCACTTGGTTCGACTGGGGTGGAGAAGTGAGAAGGGGGGGGGACGAGGGAAGTTGCGGAAGGGGGAGGACGAGGGGGTTGAGGGAAGGAGGGGGGCGAGCAGCAGAGGAGGATGAGGAGGGCAGGGAGTGAAGGAAGGAAATGGGATGGGCGTGTTTGAGTGGGGGAGTCTGGGGAAAGAGATTGAGCTGCACTGGAAAGAATGGGAGGGGAGGAGTGTCCATTCCTTCTCAGCCATACACTCAACCCCACACCCGCTCCAGACACACCCCACTCACCTGCAGCACTCTCTCAACACACTGGGTCGATTCAGCAGACACAACCGCTTCCACCCCTCCCCGCCTCCCTCTCCTCCCGCCCCCCATGCCCACAGCCCCTGCAGCCCCAGCAGCAGCAGCAGCAGCCTTATCCGCCACCCCTGCCCCCGCCAGGTACTCCATGACCAGCTTGGTGGTCTCTGTCTTGCCGGCGCCGCTCTCCCCACTGATCAGCACCGACTGGCTGCGCCCCGCCTCCCTCATCGACCTGTAAGTGTGTGTTTGTGTGTGTGGGGGGGGGGGGAGGGGGGGGGTGGAGGGGGGTGGGGGGGAAAGGGGGGGGGGTTGGGGGGGGAGTGTGAGTGCATGGGGGTGTGGGTGGGTGAAAGGGACGGAGAGAGGGAGGGGATGGGGCGAAAGGGCAGCAGGGTGGGATGGAGTGAGTGAGGGGGAGGAGGAGTAAAGAGCAGCAGGGTGGGTGGAGGCAAGGACCCGCCACCCCTGCCCCCGCCAGGTACTCCATGACCAGCTTGGTGGTCTCTGTCTTGCCGGCGCCGCTCTCCCCACTGATCAGCACCGACTGGCTGCGCCCCGCCTCCCTCATCGACCTGTAAGTGTGTGTTTGTGTGTGTGTGGGGGGGGGGGGAGGGGGGGGTGGAGGGGGGTGGGGGGGAAAGGGGGGGGGGGTTGGGGGGGGAGTGTGAGTGCATGGGGGTGTGGGTGGGTGAAAGGGACGGAGAGAGGGAGGGGATGGGGCGAAAGGGCAGCAGGGTGGGATGGAGTAAGTGAGGGGGAGGAGGAGTAAAGAGCAGCAGGGTGGGTGGAGGCAAGGACCCGCCACCCCTGCCCCCGCCAGGTACTCCATGACCAGCTTGGTGGTCTCTGTCTTGCCGGCGCCGCTCTCCCCACTGATCAGCACCGACTGGCTGCGCCCCGCCTCTCTCATTGACCTGCGGGGGAGGGAGGATGTGCGTGTGTGAGTGTGCATGGCAGTGAGAGTGTAGAGCGAGGGGATGGGACACCACTCTCCCCACTGATCAGCACCAACTGGCTGCGCCCCGCCTCCCTCATTGACCTGCGGGGGAGGGAGGATGTGCGTGTGCGGGTGTGCATGGCAGTGAGAGCGTGGAGTGAGGGCATGGCAGTTGTCGCGGTTTATGTAGCCAAGAGGGCCGCATAGTAACCGAGACAGCGCCAAGAGTTGGCAGCAGGGAGAGCGGTAGGACGTAGCAGAAGCGGAGTCTAAAAGGGCGGAGGGAAGAAGGGTGGGTGTACATAATTGTAAATAACACTCAAGAATGTTTGCATGAGAATGGTGGGTGTATGAGTTGGGGTGGGTGTATGTTTCGTTTGTGTCCTGTGCAGGGCGAGAGCTGTTGACGCGGATAAGCACAGCACAGCCGACAGGTGTGAGAAGCTGCGGTTGAACATGCACGCCATGCTTGCAGCTGGCGAAGGGCTTGCGCTGGAGCCCATGCAGATCCAGAGCGCCTGCGGTTTGTAAATATGGCTCGGCACCCCGAGCCTCGCCCATGTGATGTGTGCATGCTAGAAGCGCTAGGCTAGGGCAGTAAGGTCGTCTTGTACATAGCAGAGCTGAAACCCTAGTGTTGGCTGCTTCGTTGAATGTTTCCCATTTTGCTCAAATGTAATCCTGTTAACCCAGTCGCAGGCAATCATGAGCACGCTAGGGAACCAGCTTGTCAGCCGGTAGTGAGAAGGAGATTTTCTGAGTGAGGTATCACGATGGAGCGCTGTCACACGGCACGCAGTATACAGCAGATAGGGCGTTGGTAGTGCCCCAGTAGCGATAGCAAGAGAGAGTGGGAGGAGAGGAGGCCAAGAGGAGAGAAGGGGGGGAGGGAGACCTGGGGAACTACAGGCATTGTCGGCGGGAGTCAGGAGAAAGGGACCATACAGAGTATTTCCGACACAGTGAGATCGTGGAGTGAGGGCATGGCAGTGAGAGCGTGGAGTGAGGGCATTGACCTGCGGGGGAGTGAGGGCATTGACCTGCGGGGGAGGGAGGGCGAGTGGGCTTGGCAGTGAGAAAGAGCGTAGGTTGTGGGTGGTCCAAGGGACGGAGAGAGTGAGGGGATGGATTGCGGCTCTTTCCACTGATCAGTAACGGCTGCCTGCGCCCGGCTTCCCTCATCGACCTGCGGGATAGGGATTGTGTGGGCGTGTGTGAGAGAGTGTGCATGTGTAAGCATACCTGTAAGCATACCTGTAAGCATACCTGTAAGCATACAGACACACATACCTGTAAGCATACCTGTAAGCATACAGACACACATACCTGTAGGCATGGGCAGCGATGGCAAACACGTGTGGGCTGAGCTGCAACAGTGGCACGTTGTGGTACTGGCTCTTGAGCAGTGGGTGGTACAGGCCAGCCCCAACCTCAACCTGCACGCATCAGACCTATCACGTCCGTCCAGGTGCATGGACACACCCACTCTCTCACACACACACACCCATGCTCACACATCTGCACACACACTTGCTCACATACCTGTAGGCATGGTCAGCGATGGCAAACACGTGTGGGCTCAGCTGCCCGAGTGGTACGTTGCGGTACTGGCTCTTGAGCTGCGGGTGGTACAGGCCTGGCAGGTATATGAAGGGGTTGACTGCGATGAGAATGGTGCCTGTGTAGGTCTGCAGGGGTTGGGGTAGGTTGGGATGGGTGGGAGTATGGGAACGGTAGGCAGAGTATTGAAGAGGAGACGGAAAGGGAATTGGATGAGATGGCAGTTGAGCTGTGGGTGCTCGAGGCCATGAGACGTTAACAGGATGCAAGCACTCACTCACGTACCTTCAGCCATGAGACTAGGTAACAAGGCCATCGTCAATATACCGGTCGAGGCCTGGCAGGCAGATGGCGTTAACAGGATGCAAGCACTCACTCACGTACCTTCAGCCATGAGACTAGGTAACAAGGCCATCGTCAATATACCGGTCGAGGCCTGGCAGGCAGATGGCGTTAACAGGATGCAAGCACTCACGTAGATGCCGTTGCACACGTAGCGCCTCTTGAGATTATGCAGCACGCATGGCTCGTGCAGGTGGTCCAGCTATTGACGCACCAGCCTTTGCAAGCACGGCCACCTTGCGATCAAGCACTACCAGCGATCAAGCACTACCAGCGATCAAGCACTACCACTCACGTAGATGGCGTTGCGCACGTAGCACCGCTTGAGGTTGCGCAGCACGCCGGGCTCGTGCAGGTGGTGTAGCTTGTAAGGCATGCGAGTGGTGCAGCATTGAGGCACCTCATGCCAGGCTCGTGCAGGTGAGTGACAAGTGGGGGTTTGAGAGCACGACCACACCACCTTGTGAACAAACCCTTCCACTTACATAGATTGCGTTGCGCACATATCTCCGCTTGAGGTTATGCAGCACACCCGGCTCGTGCAGGTGGTCCAGCTTGACCATGTCGTCCTTGGGGTCCTTCTCCTCGTCCTCCTCCCTTGGGAAGCATTCTCTAGCGGGGATGAGCACCTGCATGCAAAGAGGCGCGGGAGTGGGTGGGAGGGTAGTGGGATGCGAATACACTCGTGCAGGAGGTCCAGCTTCACCATGTCGTCCGTGGGGTCCTCCTGCTCGTCCTCCTCCCTGGGGAAGCACTCCTGGGCAGGGATGAGCACCTGCAGGGAGGCATGGGGGCGGGAGGGCGCTGGGATGAGAACACACTGGTGCACGTGGTACTACCACCAGCCTCCCCTGTCACCCGTCCTTGGGGTCCTTCTCCTCGCCCTCCTCCCTGGGGAAGCACTCCCGGGCAGGGATGAGCACCTGGGGCATGGGGTGCGGGGATGAGCACCTGGGGCATGGGGTGCGGGGATGAGCACCTGGGGCATGGGGTGCGGGGATGAGCACCTGGGGCATGGGGTGCGGGGATGAGCACCTGGGGCATGGGGTGCGGGGATGAGCACCTGGGGCATGGGGTGCGGGGATGAGCACCTGGGGCATGGGGTGCGGGGATGAGCACCTGGGGCATGGGGTGCGGGGATGAGCACCTGGGGCATGGGGTGCGGGGATGAGCACCTGGGGCATGGGGTGCGGGGATGAGCACCTGGGGCATGGGGTGCGGGGATGAGCACCTGGGGCATGGGGTGCGGGGATGAGCACCTGGGGCATGGGGTGCGGGGATGAGCACCTGGGGCATGGGGTGCGGGGATGAGCACCTGGGGCGTGGGGTGCGGGGATGAGCACCTGGGGCATGGGGTGCGGGGATGAGCACCTGGGGCATGGGGTGCGGGGATGAGCACCTGGGGCATGGGGTGCGGGGATGAGCACCTGGGGCATGGGGTGCGGGGATGAGCACCTGGGGCATGGGGTGCGGGGATGAGCACCTGGGGCATGGGGTGCGGGGATGAGCACCTGGGGCATGGGGTGCGGGGATGAGCACCTGGGGCATGGGGTGCGGGGATGAGCACCTGGGGCATGGGGTGCGGGGATGAGCACCTGGGGCATGGGGTGCGGGGATGAGCACCTGGGGCATGGGGTGCGGGGATGAGCACCTGGGGCATGGGGTGCGGGGATGAGCACCTGGGGCATGGGGTGCGGGGATGAGCAGCTGCCATACACGTGAAGCGTGAAGGTAGGGGCCAGAGTGGAGATAGGGGCTGTGTGTGGGTTGTGTGTCGGTTGTGTGTGGTTTTCAGGCACCTCACATCAAACACCATCCCATCACACATCAGAGCACGCCCGGCTCGTGCAGTTGATACTACCAGCTTCACCATGTCGTCCTTGAGGTCCTTCCTTCTCCTCTCCTCGCCCTCCTCCCTCTGAAAGCACTTGCTGGCGTGGATAATTTACCACAGATTGGACTCTTCCACAGCTTTCCAGGGTAATTAACCCACCTTGTCGTCCCCCTTGGGATCCACGAGAATGGCCTCAACGGTCTCCCCATTGTCCTGCACCGCCGTGACTTCAGCTGCAGCAAACGCCGCCTTCTCATGCGCCACCCATACCTTGCACCATCCCCCCACAGTCTTTTCCAGGGTAATTAACCCACCTTGTCGTCCCCCTTGGGATCCACGAGAATGGCCTCAACGGTCTCCCCATTGTCCTGCACCGCCGTGACCTCAGCTGCAGCAAACGCCGCCTTCTCATGGGCCACCCATATCCTGGACCCCACCACGAAGCGCGCTGCCTCCGCTCCTGCTGACGTGTCCTCTGGTGCTGTCTCTTCCCCCTGACCAGGTACGAAACGCGAGAGGGAAGAAGGGAGGGTGGGTGAAAGGAAGGAGGAGGAGGAAAAGGGGGAGGGAAGGGGGAAGGGAAAAGGGGGTGTGGGAAGAGGATGAGAGGGACAGGAGGGGGAAATTTTTGAGAGAGACGGTTGAGGGAAAGGGTGAGTGAACGGAATGGGTGTACGCGTGCAAGAGAGGAGGCATGGGAGGGGGAGGGTTGAGAGAGTAGAGTGTGACGGGGAGGAGTACGGGATTGATTGGAAAAAAGGGGCGTCAGCGAGTGTGGGAAACGGAAGAGAGGGAAATTAAAGGCTGTATCTTCGCTGGCGCTGCGTTCCTTTTAAGGCGCGTACCAATCCTCCCAGTCACCTCAAGTCTACATTTCAATTCATTAGAGTTGAAATCAGATCAGATACGCAATGTCCGCCTTGTGCATACAGCCATTATTGCATCGAATCGACACGAATATGCTCTGTTTTCGAGCCGCTTCTACTCATGTCTTCCATGGAAATTCTGGGAAACGCTGGATTGGTGCAAAAAATGCCTGATTCGAATTTCAGATGTTGACTTCTGAGAAACATTCCCATTCTAGGAGCGCATCAAATCCGAATTCAGAAATTCAAAGGGCATTCCGAGAGACATTCCTGTCCTAGATGCGGATACACTAATAACGGAGACATTTTGGATCGTTCAGTCGCCTGATTTCCCGAGACAACTGAGAGATCGCGACGAATCCTTAATCAAGACCTCGTGAACTCCATCTAGGCCAACCATTCCTGAAACACGATTTTGCAATTTTCTTTTTAAAAAAACGGAAAGACGGAAGAGCTTCTCTGGACTAGCATTGGTAACGCCTCGTCCTGACATTTTCACCGATCACACCTTCAGCTTGCTCGTACCATTGTAAGTTTTCGGGACGATTTACGGCATCAAGTGGGTGAAATGAGTGCACGGCATCGAAGTTGAGGTTCAGGAGAAGAAAATGCCAACCGAAACGACAGTAGCCGAAACGACAGTAGCCGAAACGACAATAGCTGAAACGACAATAGCGAACCGCTTCAAGTAGCAGCAGGCGAAACACGAGTACTGTAAGAACGGCGTTAGAGGCAAAACGCGACGAAGGAACTTGAGATACCGCGCAAGAGGATCAACCAGCTGGAGATACCAGCTTGGCGTCCCATACGCTAACAACTTCACTACCCTAATTAGAATGGTCGAGTGGTACAATGCTCGCCTACTGCTGGAGGAAACTAGAGTTGTGTTGCTGTGACACAACTCTCAGCTCTATGATGGGAATGGGAAGCCAGGTCCGTGAGTTGGCGGGAAAGCTGGATTTGTAGTTTCTGCTGATTGTGCAATTTACTCCGTTTTCGACAGGAAAGAACAACCATAGATGGTACACGTACAAGTGCAAGTACATGTATACATACACGTACAAAGGGTCATCTTGAGTGGCGAGAGCACTGACGTGAGACGACTTAGGTCGTATCCCTGCCTAGTGTCAAGAAGTTGGTGTCAAGAAGTTTGCGCATGCGATTGGTTAAAAAAAACGATTGACCAATCGCATTGGCCGGAAATTTGTTCTGGACCAATAGGGTGCGAGCACTTCTTGACACTAACTTCTTGACACTAGGCAGGGATACGACCTTATGAGACTCTACGTGAGACTGGTTCGGAGTCACAAGCAGACAAATGAATCGCAACGACCAGTTTCTGAGAAAACACGCCCTTCAGAACCTGAGAGTTTCAACGAGTACCTCGAGGGGCCGGCGAGTTCAGCCAATCAATAAGCCCCCGACAAGCCTGGAAGAGCTCCTGCGATTGGCTGGGTCATTATTTCGGACTCGCAGAGCAGTGCTCGCCACTCGAGAATCAAGCAGGCATACCAAAGCTTGGACAATTGGCGCTAGTATATGCGTGACCCGGTTTGGTACAGATGCGAAGCTTTAGCTCCCAACCATTCGAGCTGCTCAGTATATCTAACTTTATAATTTGTTCTACAGATAAATTGCATGCCAACTTATTTAATACATCAAGTGGCCTGCTACATACATAACTGCTATCATTCGCACCATTGCCCTGCATTTGGATAAAAAGGCACCTAAGAATAGCCTGGTCACATGCCGTTGTACCGTATGAACCAGGCGAACCAGGATGAATCTCGTGAGTCATGACACATCATGGGTCATCATGCAGCCGAGCAAACACATCCCCTTGGCCACCCACACCCATGCTCTTATGTACCGGATAAGTCTGGGCGGTTCTTCCTTGGTAGCTTCTCATGCCTCGACGTACCGCATCCCGATGCTCTTTCGGATACGTGTGCGACCGTATAGGGCTCGAAGGGGATCGTGATTCCAATATCTGCCGCCGGGAGTCCAAGGGTGGGAGACAGAGGCCATACGAGGGAATTCGTCGAATGCTTCTATCAGCAGCCAAGCAACTGTCCGTGTCCAATGGCAACCTTCTAATTGACCGCTGGCGGTCCGCCAGCTCAGCTTGGCTGGAAACAGAATGCTGCAGCTCAGCGTTCGATCCCAGTCTCAAAGAAGAATGAGCTCGGATGATGCTGCTGCTTCTCCTGGCGTTGCTTCTGCTGCGCCTGACACTGCTGCTTCGGCTCCGCCCAAACAACCTCGCATCGTCAATCTCCTCCTCGTCACTGCTCTCCACAGCCTCCATGTTCGTCAGAGAGGGGCTCAGACTGAAACCGGACAAAGAGGAATTCAAATTTGACAGGGACAGGCTCAGGCTCAGATTGGCATGAGAAGGGCTTGAGCCCAAACTGGCCGAGGGTGCGTTCAGATTCGCCAACGACAGCCTTGAACTTGGCCTGGCCAGAGGTGATCCGGTGGAATTCGCCAGCGATGGGCTTGAGCCCAAACTGGCCAGAGGTGACGAGTTGAGATTCTCCAGACACGGGCTTGAGTTCTGCCTGCGCTGCAAGAAGCGGGGCTGCGACTCTTGAGGCGCCTCAAAAGACGGGCTTGAACCCAAACCGGCCAGAGGTGATCCGGGAAAATTCGCCAGAGAAGGGCTTGAGCTTTGTCTGCGCTGCAAGAAACACGATTGCGATGACGAAGCACACTGGCTGGAGCTGCGCCAGGATCTCCCGTCATGAACCCTTGCACCATGGTTCCTCTCCACATGGGTCCTCCCATCATGGGTTCTCCCGCGACGAAGCTTCCGCTCCATGGGTTTGCTAACCAAGTGCTGGTGAAGAGTGGCAGAGAGTGAAGCTTGACTTAACCTGCCTGTCGTCCAGGAACGAGAGCAGACTCCACCTGAAGCGCCACGTGTCGTAAAGTCTTCACTCCCATCAAGTGATTCTTCAGGTGATCTCTCAGGTGCTTCGGAGGAGACTGAGGAGTTGTCGGACCCTTTCGGCCCATGTGACACGCAGTCGATGCGATTTCGAGCAGCACAGCAACCGGGCAGGCCAGCTAGGTCAACTCGGCCAGCAGCCAAGCCAGCAGCGCAAGCGCGCCTTCTCGCCTCCAACAAATCCGAAGTCGACCGGCGACGATTTAACCGCCGCCGACCACCCCAAGCCAGACCCTCAACAGGCAATGGAACCCTCTCCTTCTTCCCCACAACCTCTCCTCTCCTAGCATCCTCCGCGGTCGTCGCCTCCCCGGCCTGTTCTGCTGCGAACCGCAGCATGTCAACAAACTGCTGGCATCTCACTGCGTTCTGCTCGCGCTGGGACTCCAGCAGGCTCAGCTTACTCTGAAGGCACAGCATATCCAGATTATCTGTTACCATACCACCGCCTCCCCCCCCTCCTCCGCCGCTGCTGGTAACCCCTCCAAGGGACCACCTCCTGTTGACCCCTCCCAACAGCTGGGAAGGCACCTTAGGAGAGGGAGGATTGGCAGCAGCAGCAGCGGTGTTGAGATCGCTTCTGCGGCAATGTGCACCATCGGGATTAGCGTCAGATGCCAAATCGGAATCAGAATCAGATCCTGAACCAGAGCTTGATTTCTGAGTAGCAGCAGCTGCTGTTTCCAGGACGTTTGAAGCCGGATCACCAACCCAGTCAGACGAGGCTTGGTTGCTACCACCAGAAAGACGATACCACCACCACGGGCTGAAGGGTTGACTCGTTCTTCCGTTCCATGCAGGACAACCATTCTCTGCTTCTGAAGTCCTGAGTTCCGACCCTGAAAGGTCCGTTTCTGGAAGGTCGGAGATCGGAAGGCTCGACATGGGAGAAGGAGTTGTTGAATTTTGAAAGCCAGCTGCTTCCGACGCCATTCTTCCAATAGAGACCGCCGGGAACAAGTCGGGAACAAGTTACTAAGTCTCGTTGATGATTTATGAGACAGTGCCTCGTGCCTTGCTGAACCTGGAAAACGAGCTGTCGCCAGCATTTTTTAAGCTTAAACTCCTACATCAACTCGAAACCGTCGCCAACTGAACTGGAGTGATGAAAAACGTTGGCTGAGATTTTTGTTTTCAGCAGATCACGAAGTCCGCGTGCCCAGACTCCTCTCGCTGCGTTCTGTTTTTGCAGAAAATACTCTGCAGAAAATACTCTCACTGCGGACTCTACTCTCTGTCAGTGGAGCAATGGATCTCGTCAAACAACTGCTGCTGGCCTGGTAACCAAGGTTCTCCAAACCAGCATTAACATATTAAGGCAGCAACATTTGCGGACTGCCGTTCCTCTGTAACACTGTAGTAGACGTACTATGGGGAATGCTGCTCTCACCAGCAACTCAAGGAAATAGCCTAAGCAGGAAAGGGTTTTCCTCAGCGTCAGATCGTACGAGTGAAGTCAGATGTCAGAAATAACCGAACGGCAGCGTGAAAAATAAGAGAGGACATTTCTTTTCCACACAGGCGTGGGGTGGGGAGAGGAGGAGAAACGGATTCACGGCCCATATGCATGACCCTTCGATCCGATTTTCTTAGTAGTGTAGCTCGTTGACAATCAGAGCTCAGGTTAGGCAAGGCAGCCGAAGCGTGGCAGGCTTGTTTGAGATCTAGTATGGCGGATCGAATAACATTAAATATATATATATATATATATATAAAATAAAATAAAATAACCTAGTCCCAATTCCTCGGACTTGACAGGAAGTATACTGTTCAGGCCAGACAGCCGGCACTGCTACGAGCGCCGCTCCGAGCGGAAACTATGGTGGTTCTGACGTGGTTGAAGTTATTATTGAACCATCAATTCGACCGAACATCCCAGCGGAATTCGGTCGACGGACCCGAGTTGCCAGTGTCGTCGAGGGGGGTCGTCGAAGCCTAGGCCGACGGGGCGGAGCACTGACGCGCGTGCGGGCCCGCCAGCCTGGCCCAGGGCTGGGCCGAGCGCACGACCGCCGCCCCGCGGCCCCGCCCCGAACGTGAACAGCGGCCCACGTTACCGGGTGGGGTCGGCGAACTGGCGACACCTCGCGCGTGGGAAAATTACCCTCGCGCGAAGGCAGCCCACGCGCGCCACCTGCCCGCGAGGTCCTAGTAACCCATCGCGGCCTGCCCGGACGGGCAGGCGAGGGCCGGGCGAAAAGTCGGGGCCCCCTCGGGACGCTCGACAACTTCGCGACCCGTTGCGGCGACGCCACGTGTTCGCCCGCCTGCTTCGCATCGGGCAACATGCAGAATTTGATACATTGCGAACTCAATTCGGGACATCGCGAATTCGATGTCGATCGCTTCGCGGCGCACGTTTTTCGCTTCGGGGCGTGACATCGACTTGCTGGCTCGGCGGCGAACGAGGACTTGTGCCACTTGTGGAGGACTTGTGCCAAACCCCGCCG